CCGGTAGATGCACCGGATAAAGATGGACACATAAGCCCCCGCGACAGCATACGCAAAGCTGCGGAACTTCCTGTCGTTCCACGTCGCCAAAGACCGAGCGTCAGCATCAGGCGAGGCCATGTACCTCTTCACGCGGACCCAGTAGTCGACGCCCATGACGCCAAATGCGGCGAGGACGACGACCTGCAGGACGATGCCCGCGAGGATGGTGTTGTTGCCGCCGTCGATGAGCTTCTTGTTGTTCCCCGAGGCCGCGAGCCCGCCGCCGATGGCCTGCAGGACCAGGCAGGACAGGTCGGCGGGGAGGAAGATGAGCGGGTAGAGGCGGGGTTTTATCCGCGACAGGGACGGGTTGAGGGCGAGGGCGATGTGCTTGAGGGTGACGTAGATGGCGACGCAGATGAGGGTCGGGGCGATGATGATGGCGCAGATTTGGAGCTGGAAGGCGTCCTTGTTCCAGGGGTTCTTGTGGAGGAGGGCTCGACCGATGTGGCCTTTTGCGTGTTAGTGAGGGGAATGATATAGAGGCTCGAAAATGGACTTACCGGCCGCCTCGAGCAAGAGACCGGCCGTCGTGGCGAAGCCGTAGGTCCAGGTCTTCTTGGAGACTCCCAGGCCGCCGGCTGCGATCATGGCGAGGCCAAAGGCAACTGCGAAGAAGATGCTGACGCCAAAGTTGGGATAGTACCCGAGGACCGTGGCCTCGACGGGGCACATTTTGGAGACTTCATGGCAGACGCTGTAGGACACCCTCCTTGGGGGTTCTGTCGTCGACGACATGGCGATGGTCGAAATTTAATACGAATAACGGCTTTCGTTCCACCAGGCAATAGCCTATTCCTCCTCGATGGCACCCCACGATATAATTCCAGTACACTTCCGATAAGTATGCGTGGCCTCGGTTTCGTTCAAGCCAATAAAAATACTACGAACCGAGTGGTCGTCGGACGTTTTGTTAGTCGAAAGGACAAGAAGTCGGCATATCGAGGAGAGGACCAGGTGCGGAGAAGCTAGAAAAACACGAACTCAAAGGTATTTATGTAGTGAGAGCTATGCCACGATTCCCCAACTCCATATTGCCATCTACTATTGAATGAAACCCCGGCACCATCGACGTTTATGGCAGGCGGCCGCCGCAGTTCAGATGTAAGCGAACGAGCCTAATCTCTCAAGGGGAAAAGAGAGTTCCGGGGTCGTGTCAACTCCGCCCGGCGCCCCGGTATTTCCAGTGGGATTCTGGGATCACAGATCCCTCACCTTGTATTTGTCAGACATCCCAGTTGAATGCTTATCGAGCCTACAGTCGCGACGAACTGGGCAGATGGAACGTCTGCCAACTTCATGTGAGCGCATGACACGGTTCGTTCTACTAGGAGAGGACGGTACGCAAGCCCCCCGTCTCTTGGTGCAGATACTCTATCTCTGAGTCTATTTCGCGATGCTCCCTAGCAGTGTAACTCCGAAACCCGTGAGAGGGACCCAGAGGGTGGGGGCTGAACCGCAATCAACGGAAGTTTAATACGCGTATCTTGTCAATACGTGTATAGCGTATCGAACACTGGCCACTCCCGTGTTCTGGAATACGGATACGCGTATATGGCTGACGCTAGCACGTGCCAAAGGGACAGATTGCTCCACAACAACAATCCGTCCCGCGAGATGAATTCTCCCCTACTTCCGCCCAGGCCGGTCGCGAGACTGATTCTCTTCCCTGGGCACCTTTGGCCCTACACTAATGGGATTACGCGGCAATACTTACAGAGCTATGCATCCTTCCGAGCGGGACCTCAAATCTCCAACCAATGGGTGCTTTGTCCGTCCTTCTGGTTTCTGTCGACGTAATAGGTAAGCAATGAAACTCGCTTGCCTCCATCTTCAACACTTAACGACATTGAGAGACTTTGAAAATTCAACCTCTTTGATCCATATACTGAGGCATAATAACCCCCATAACTTGCTTAGCAATCACATAATTGCAGCTTGCATAACGCAGAGTCGCTGTTATGCTTGAGCGAATTCGTGCTGGTCTTTTGTTCCCACCAATAGCCTACTGTCCGGTAATGGGTGCCAAGTTCGTGTCACTCAGGAAATTGCGGCAGGAAGGCTACTGGTGGGATCAAAAGACCGGCACGAATTCGCTCAAGCATAACAGCGGCTCTGCGTTAGGCCCTGCTTCAAGCTTGGAAATGTTCTGGTCTACATTACCGAAAGGAAGGAAAGTTGCAGTTTCTCTGGGGAAATAGGGCCATTTCCAGACTCTCAGAGTTAGGAAATAGGAAATACAAAATATACTTTGAAACTTAGTACCTATTCCTCCTAGGGCTATTCTATTGAGCTCAGAGATCTCTTTTTAGTTCTACTGGAAAAGATATATTTTACTGTAGATCTCATAAGGTTAAATAGCTAGAGGAGGTATAGCTTCTCTTTTTATATAAACCCGATATTATTTCATATTTCTATTTCGTATTTCCAAGCTCCTGAATCAGGGCCTTATGCAAGCTGGAGACTTACTATGACCAGTATATCATGGAATACAATACGGAAACACCGATACGAGCCGCGTTCGCACAGTTCCGTCCCAGATACACTGCTTGGAGGAAGGGACCGAACAGAGGCGATTCAATCCATTGGCACCGGCGCCTAGGACGCCCGGAGCCAAAACCACTTGAATACCTAGTTGCCTCAACGAACGGGGCGCGAATGAGAATGTTTTAAGCCTCCGGCACAGCTGGTAGATGAATATAGTTAAATATTTGATATTCTAGCAGACTGAGTCTATTCCTCTTTACCGCCGAGATGTCTATAAACAACCGAAAAGTCCCGCCCCGCGCACTGTTCCTCCTTTTCCGCATCCTCGTACACCTTCATCGCCGAGTCCGCAAGCTTCATCTGCGCGCCAGCCTCCTTGGCCGCCACCATGGCCAGGCGGAGGTCCTTCTTCATGAGCGAGATGCCAAAGCCTCCCTTGTAATCACGCCCGGCGGGCGCAGTCTCCACGACGCCGCGCACCGGGTTGTTGACCTCACTAGGCCAGCAACGCCCCGTGCTCACGTTGATCACGCCTGCAAGCTTCTTGGGATCCAGCCCCCACTTCATGCCCAGGTTCATCGCCTCGGCGGTCGCGATGTTATTCAGGGCCAGGAGGTAGTTGTTCGCCAGCTTAGCAGACAGCCCGGCGCCCTGGTCTCCGCAGTGGAGGACCTTGCGGCCCATCACCAGCAGGATCGGCTCGACACGAGGCATGAGGCTCGGTGCGGCGCCTAGCATGAAGGTCAGAGTGCCGGCTGTCGCGCCGACGACGCCGCCCGACATGGGCGCATCCGTGAATGTTCCTTGGCCGGCATCGGCGACAGTCTTGGCAACTTGCCGAGATGTCGATGGGTCAATTGTAGAGCAATCAATAAACAGGCGATCCTTTTTAGGGAGCGAGGGGCTCAGGATCGATTTGTAGACTCCTTGGACATGCTGTGGTTCAGGCAGCACTGTAATAACGGTGTCCTGTGAACGACGTTAGCGACTTATGCTTGCAATACGAGAATTCAATTCGAAGCAAGTTAAACCATGTAGGCATCGCAGATTCAGAAAGTTTAAAAGCATATAATCAGGCAAGGGCCAGTAAGCTGGCCAATGTGCTTCAGAGATAGAACAATAGATATGTAGAACATCATGTACGATGAGAGGGAGACCGTATGTTGTTTAACTTACAGCATCCTTGGAGGCATCAAACGCACTGGAGGCGACCTCCACCGCAGCACCGCCACTGGCAGCCTTCATCTCCAACTCCAGAGCTTTCACCGCATCTGCGTTGATGTCGTAAATGGCCACCTTGTCGCTCGGTTTCAGTTTGGATTGCAGGTTCTTAGCCATTTGATAGCCCTGTCATCGCATTGTCAGCCAGGCGTCCATGAGACTGGAGATATCAGCTCTAACCCACCATCTGGCCCAGGCCAATGAACCCGTAATTGTCCAATCGCCTGGTCGTGCAGGAAAAGCATCTTCTCTGTGCTATGCGCGACACAGGAGCAGCGGCTGTAGCCACGCGAGCTGCGACAATTGCTCTCATCTTAGACAGTAGGATACGACACTGAATGGACTCGCGACAAACAGCTTCATCATAGACAGACTCTGGGGAATGTGGCCCTCACCCCAGAGTATGTTATGATGTATGCGGGGGCCGCCCGGCGCCATACGCCTTTAACCGAAAATGCCGGCCATTACCGATGCAAACCTTCGGGGCGCGGGAGACGATTCCAGCAGATCTGTGTCGACGCTTTTGGCTTTTGGGGTGTATTGTCGTGCGGAGAAATCTGCCGTGGGCACTTCGGGATTTGGGGAAAACTACCTCCAGGTGGCTTATTAGTGGGCAACTTAGGCTGAGCCACAGCCTAGCTCAGTCGTGTGGCTGAAATCCTACCAGACTCTACCCCTGACTTCGTCGACGCTACGGTTTCAGTTGGTGACTTGTCAGTTGTGCTTGGCCTTGGAATTCTGCGATACCTACATCAATAAATCCTTGGCTGCAGGTTTCGTAGGAGCCCTCATTTTCATAGTGGGCTTGTCTATCTCAGAACGACGGGACACAAGCCGTCACTTGCTCCTTTTCGATACGAGTAAATATGACAATCTGGGATGGACATGGGCGTACTCCCCATGATACCCTTGAGACCATTCAAGCCAGCATCGCAATGATCTTCTGCCTCCCATGCCTCTGTGTCGTTGCCTGCAGCAAGACCAAACTCCCGCCATTCAGGAAAGAGACGCCCGCTGAAGCAGACTCATCAACATCTCGAAAGGACACTATAACCCCGTACGAGGCGGAAGAGGTTCTCCCGGTCAGCCATACTAAGGCGAAACCATAGGGCCTGGCTCTCAGTTCCGTTGAACCCTGGCGATCACATAGGATTCGGTTGTGTCCTGGTACCGAAGAGTACGGCAAGTATTCGTATTTGTGCCGCTGGGGCACTACATGACCCAAGTATTTCAACTATACAATTCTCGCCTCAGCCCTTTGCTTCTTTGCGAAGTATGGCTAGAATTCTTTTATACCCCTTCCTCTCAGCAGCCTTGATCGCACCTCCATCAGCATGAACTATTGCACCTCCTTCGAGAAGCAATCGAAGGATTCCTTCATAACCTTGTTCCGCTGCTGCCTGGATAGCGTTGCTCTCTTCACTGCCAGCGTTCGCATCGGCCCCGTTTTTCAGTAAAATTTGGACTATATGCTTGTGGCATCCAATAACAGCCGCTCTTAGGGCTGTGTCATGCTCGCCTCCTCGCGCATTAACGTTGGCTCCTCTAGCAAGCAGCAATGATACAAGATGGCCGTTGCCGGCAAAAGAAGCTGCTTGCAGAGCATGGCCATACAAACCACCAGCTGAATTGACGTCCGCCCCTGCGTCAAGAATCATGTTCACGATGTCAATGGCAGCTCCTGACTTTGATGGCCAGTCATTCCAACATGCGGCTTGCAAGGCATTTCCGTACAGTCCACCCTGGGCGTTGACATTGGATCCTTGGCCCAGCAGGAATCGAACCATTTGCCTCTTATCGCCATAGGATGATATGAGAGCCTGCAACACCGTACCATACTGACCACCTTGTGCGTTGATGTCGGCGCCCTTTTCAACCAGATACTCAATATACTTTGGTTTCACGTGAGCGGCTGCTTGGAGGGGGTTTCCATACAATCCGGCATGCGTGTTGATTTCAGCCCCATGTTGTAGAAGTAGTTGCATGAGGTTTCTGTTTCCAGACAAAGCCGCTGCTTGCAGTGCGGTTCCTAGCTCTCCTCCTGAAGCATTCACGTTTGCCCCCTTTTCAATAAGCAACACGGCGATGTCCACAGCAATTTTCTTTCCAGAGCTACGAGCTGTCGCGACAGCTTGCAAGGCGTTTCCGTATCGCCCACCTTGCGCATTGGGTTCTGCACCCATGTTAAGTAGGAACTCAACGAAACGCTTCTGCTGCTTGTAACAGGCCATTTGCAAAGGGCTGCCGTGCTCGCCACCTTTGGCGTTCACATTGACTCCTTTATCAATCAGGAGGCTTGCAAAATAGATCTTCAAGGCCTCCGGAGCATCGCCAGCAGAAACCGAGTACAGCATGCCGATATCATCCGAGCCATTAGTGAACACATCCGCGCCCAGATTAAGCAGCCGCTCCACAACTTCTTGATTCCTTCTGCCCAAGGCACGACGTAGAGCGTTTCCAAGTTCCACCGAACTCCATCTCGAGTTGTCCTCAAGCAATCGTTCCACAACGGAGAAAACATCTGCTGATAGAGCGGCATCCAGAGCTGTTTGAAATACCCTTCCCCGTAAGTGAGGATTTGCACCATGGTCTAGAAGTTCATGTGCAACCTGCCCATAGCCACCGTTAAGAGCCGCATGAAGGGCGTTCCCAAAACGGCCTCTGCGCGCATTCACTCGCGCCCCCTTTTTGGTCAGCAATTGTACCGTGGACAGCATCCCGTTCTTTGCTGCCCTGTAGAGGGCAGAGGCTCGACGCTTCTCCCCATTTTCTGTTTCGTATCGGTCCCAAAATTGGGCTTTTTGTGGTAAGAACTCCTCTGCCTCATCGTCTTCTGATTCATCACTGTCTTGGTTCTCGTCGCTCTCATCTGCATCAATATGAGAGCCATGATCAAGCAACAGCTCCACAATCTGATCGTGGCCATAGCCTGCGGCCGCTTGAAGAGGTCTAGGGAACTTTCCGTGTGCCATGTTTGGGTCGGCGCCATGATCAAGCAAAGTGCGCACAAGATTTGCTTTGCCCTTGCCAGATGCCCAACTGAGGGCGGAAGAATAGTGTCCAGAAGGGGCATCAATGTCGGCGCCGTGATCCCGGAGCAGGTCAGCAATACCTATGTGGCCATTCTGAAGGGCAGCCAGGAGGGGATTTCCGGCGTTGACGTCTGCACTCTTAGCAAGCAGATGTCGTACCACGACATCATGACCATGACTTGATGCCTCGTAAAGTGCGCTGCCATCCAAGCGGCCGAATAGGTCAATGTCAGCTCCAGCATCAAGAAGCAGTTCAACAACCTCTAGGTGCCCTTTTGAAGACGCGATGATTAGTGCCGTGCCGTAATTCACGCTCCATGCATCAACATCAGCTCCATGAGCAAGGAGACGCTCGACCAATTTCCTATCTCCCAGTTTAGCTGCCGCGTAGAGGGGATTGGGCGATTTGGATTTCCCTAAACATGCTTTATCCGCACTAGCATTCGCTTCTAATAGGGCATCTACAACTCTCCAATGCCCCTTCATCACAGCAGCGTGAAGCGCAGTACCGTCGGTGCCACCCTCAGAATCAACATCAGCTCCTGCATCAAGAAGTTTTTCAACAATTTGGAGATGTCCTGTTGCAGATGCACATTGTAGAGCAGTCCCGAACTTAGAGCCTCCATCAATGTTTACATCGGCGCCAGCTGCTATGAGTGTTTGGACGATGTCACCATGGCATTTTGTAGACGCTGCTACCAAGGCACTACCATATTTGCCTCCTTTTATGTCGATATTGGCACCGTGATCAATCAGCAACCTGACAATACTCTCATGCCCAGAATAGCTAGCTGCTTGCAATGCGGTGCAAAACTCACCGCCTTCGGAGTTCACATCAGCGCCATGATCGATGAGCAAAACTGCGATATTCTCATATCCAAATGAGCTGGCTGTCTGCAAAGCACTTCCATACCTGCCTCCTTTTGAGTTGATATCAGCGCCGTGACCGATCAATAGCCTAACAATGTCCTCATAACCATGGAAGCTGGCGGCTTCTAATGTGCTTCCGTAATGGCCTCCTTGGATATTAACATCGGCGCCGTGATCAATGAGTAACGTAACGATATTCTCATGCCCATTCTCGATGGCAACATGTAGTGCTGTTCCCGGCGTTCCGCTCGTGGAGTTGATGTAAGCACCGTTATTAATGAGCAGTTGGATGATCTCTTCATTGTCCTGCTGTGCAGCAGCTTGTAGGACACTTCCATGGCGATCCCAGTCGGAGAAGTTCACGTTCGCACCGTTTTGTATTAACGATTCCGCGAGACTACCAAAGCCTTGCAGGCAGGCGAGTTGCAGGATTTCCCCCATGGCTTCATCTTGAAGGTCGTATTCAGAGCCAATCAACTTCTCAGCGATCTGCACTTGGCCTCCTAATATTGCCGCTTTAATACTAGGAAACCCAACTTTGGCTGCTCGGTCAAGTAGCAGGTCAACAATCTCCTCGTGTCCTTGTCTAGCCGCAATCCCAAGAGGGCTCGATCCATCTTTGCCTTGGAGGTTGATATCTGCGCCGTGGTTGAGAAGCAATTCAACCAACTCAATTTTCCCGCTGGACGCTGCGGTCATGAGAGCATTCCATCCTAATTCTGACTCGAAGGCGTCGATCTCGGCATTTTTTTCAAGCAACATGCGCGCCATTTCAATATTCCCGTGCATAGAAGCAAAGACCAAGGGGGGGGATGTGTGATGGTTGACCCCTTGCCCATGCTGCAGAAGCAGTTGAAGAATCCCTTTCCTGCCATGAACACATGCCTCAGCAATTGCAGGTCTAATATAGTCCTTGCCACCTTGGACATTGACTGGTGCACCCGATTTGAGAAGGAGCCGTACGATATGCAGATGGCCGCCTATTGTTGCTGCTGTGAGTGCGCTGCGTCCATCATTAACGTAGAATTTTGCACCCTTCTTGATCAGCACCTTTACTATTGCCTCATGGTCATGTAGCGAGGCTACCATCAGTGGAGTTGCACCCGGGCCTGCACCGTCGTACTCCAGCCCAGCCCCACGTGCCAGCAGAAGTTGAACCATCTGGAGATCCCCGCGCTCTGCCGCAAGATAGAGAGCATGATCCAGGTCCAGGTCGCCCGAACCCATATCGAGCAATCTCGCCAGCAAAGCGGGACTCCCATGGTTCGTAGCCGTCGCGAGAGCTGAGTTAGCCGGCCAGTAGCCTGCATGAATGTTGGCGTTGAGGTTCAACAAAACTTCGGCAACCTCTATGTGATTCCCTTGCAAGGCACACATCAGTGCATTGTCATTCGGTCCACCTTGTACATTCACATCTGCACCAGAATCGAGAAGAAGCTTGACTATGGCCAAGTGGCCATGGCGGGCTGCTCGCATGAGGGGCGTCCTCCCACAGCCATCTTTGGCATTGAGTTGAGGAATCCGCGTCTCATCGCCGTCTTCATTGCTGCCTATTTGAGATGACAGCAGTTCTCTGGATAGCAGATACAAGCCAAAACGTGATGTCAAGTGCAAGGCCGTTGTGTTCATAGCCACCCCATCGTTCGGATGTCCCGTCCTTTCTGCCACTTGAGCAACTGCATTGACGGAACCATGATGTTGCAAGAAGCGCAATGCAAGATCAAGCATCTGATCTTCAACCATCAGGGTGTGAATGGCCCAACTTTGTGCCAAGTATGGCAACAGCGGATAATTTTGGATCCTGGCGTCAATATCACGCCCTATGGTGAAACCTCCATCACGAAATGCATCATATGCCAAGTACGTCAAGCACATCGACGCAATTTCAGTCGGTGCTTCTGGAATCCACTTGCAGCGTGTTCTTTCCAAGTACTCCTGCGTGGTGTAATGCACGAGACGTACATTCTCGCTATGTTTATCAAGAACCACGAGCCCCATACAGACCGAGATAACCTCCTCAATGGATGGAATGTTGTCTTCATCCAAGTCATCCGTCTCAAGCTCAATAGCAAGAGCACTGCATAGTTCTGTGATACTCAGTTGCCGTTGAGCATAGGAAATCCAGGAGATTGTCTGTTTTGCCAATTTTATCTGCTCCGGCGACTGTCCTTCGATTCTCTGAATGGTTAATGCGTAGGCTTGATCATACACTCGATCGAACTCCGAGCTTTCCCGAGACTCGTGTGATATGACCTCCAGAGACTTAATTACTTCTTTCCGTCGAGTCAAGCCCTGAACCCACTGGACATATAGGCAAGCCAGCAGAAACCTTGGACTGAATTAGCACTTCATCCCTCAGAGGTCTCTTTGATAAGACTTACATTCCATCGGCCGCATCTGCCACGCCATTTTTTATTTGGGTGGTGAGGTTCTCGTCCCTTCTTATCCAAGCTCTCCAGGAGACGTGATCGAGATATTGCTGGAGATCCTCACGGCTAGCCCGAATTTCCAGCATAGACTCCGGCTCAAACCTCTCCATGATCTCTGGAATAGATCGGGATGTAATAAAAACCCGTAGATTCCCTTCTTCCTGTAATTCTTCGACTGCATTTAAGAGCTTTGCATATGTTTCGTTGTTGTCCATGGCTTCGTCCAGAGCATCTATCACCAGATAGAGAACTTCATGTTCCCGAACCATAGCCTTCATCATATCCATCATGTCTTGATACAACGGTCTGCCTTTTTCCTTGTCCTCGTAGACCCTTAGGACGGCATCTGGCACAGTTTCTCGAGATTGCAGAAGCTGTCGAAGAACTGCAGAAATCAAAGTGCTGGGGTTCTGGCTTACACCCTCTGTATAGCTACAGTAGATATAAGTCACAGGTGTTGTGCTGCTTTTTCTGGTTCTCTCGAGGTAATCAATTACCGTTGTAGCCATGATTGTCTTCCCGGCGCCTGGACTCCCGTAACCTAACAGTGTGCTATTCGCTTGACCATCAACCCAGTCTTTGAATTTTGGGTCTTCGAGAAACCATGTTCCGGTGTCTTTCTGTCGTTTTTCCAAGTAATCATAGTATTGTGCTGTGAAGTTTGTTGATGAGGACCACTGAATAATATCTTCTCGTAGCTGCTTAGCTTGCATCTCCACCTGAGCTGCCTCGGACGACAGTAGAAGTTTTTGACCATCTTCTTTGATCTGCTGGGATGTTGCGAGCACAATGGCGCTAACCAGTCCACGTTCCTCCTCAAAAAGCCGTTCCAGTTCATCAAATGCTTTGGTGATATTCTCGTCGTGGCCTAGAATTAATGCCTTTGTATATTTCTTCAGCTTTTTCGTCTTCATGATCACCTCCGAGCAAGCTAGAATCTTCAAGAAGCAGGAAAACACCTTGACGATGTTCTTCTTGAGTGGCGGAGAAACCTCCCCCTTGATATACTCATCAAGACGGTCTGTATATCCTTCCAGTTTTCCGAACAGCTCTTCTATGTACTTGTATGACTGAGCGATATCCCCAGCCGCTTGGAACATGAATAATGTTGCCCCAATGATAGGCGAAGCCAGGTAGAACGGAGAGGCGGCATGAGAAGTGGATGTTCGCTCCGACAGCCTCATGAAGGGCCGTATCGCGGCATTCACTCGGTTGAGAATCTTCTCATCGCTGCTTGTGAAGCTCTTGAATCGGCTCTGGTGCTCCTGCAGATGCTTTCGTAAGTCCTCTGGTTCGCAGATCCGCCTAAAGACCTCGCGCTCTGGAGTGGTGCGTTTAGTGGTGGCATGATAAGTTTCGATAGCCTCTTGCCATATCTCGTCAAAGTTGACATTTTCCGACATATTTCGGCATTAAGAAGCCCCTCGACACCAAATGCCAGTCAGGGGAAAGATGTTTGCTGGAGATGGCAGTGAGGAGACTCAACGTCAGCCTGACTGCTAATTGTGGCTCCTCACATTGTGGCAGGCACGACCAAGCCTGCGCCTGACAGGGGGTGATGATCAACAGCACCTACCTACCTTACGCGGTTTGCCATAGAAAACAAACAGGTGAGAAACAGGAGATTATCATCCAAGCTAGCAATAAGTTTTCTAATCACATCTCTTCATTTGTCGATAATCAAATTGCCAAGGTGCTCTAGCTACGCTTCATCCTGCAGTCTCCACCATGCCACCCCTGTCGCATATAAGAGTTGCATCCAACCACCTCAAACCTGCCAAACGTCGACGTCCAACGCCAGGCCAACTCCCCAGGTCATCGCAATGGACCACCTCTTCCATTAGAATAGCTCTATCTCCTCGAAATGAGCGAAAGCATTCCCGGCCGCAAGCATTCGTCTCGTTCAAGATCAGGTGGTGCAGATTTAAAAAGGAAACGCCAAAACAGCACCGCCAGCCAAACATCGTCAGAGCCTACGGTGTGTTTCCACATCGGCAACGAATCGCGAGAAACCTCTCAGAGTTCCTTTCTTTCATACGTCTGGAACACTGGTCTCGATTCCAGCTGCGTCCCCTGCGGGAAGCCTTTTCATCCCGGCTAGGACGTTCCAATACGGACGGTTGGGTTGGAAAGAAACAGCCCCTTGCGGCCGTCCGTGATAGATATCACACAGGATCCCATCTCGTCCTGGAATCTCCGAATATTCAACCGACATTTTGCATGTATCAAGTCTAACAAGCTAAATTTTACCCCAATTTCTCACGCTTGGCATGAGAGTGTCGCAGCCGCTCAGGACACTCGCACAGAAAGCATCGACGTTGCTCGGATCGTCTACCAGACACCAGTCAAAACTCTCCTCGCACTCGCAGAGGATTCCCCTGATTGTGAGATATGGCATGACTACGTGAGCGTGCCGCAATGGCGCGCCGATATTCAGAAACAGCTCCTGCTTGCTATTCCAGAAATATACAACTACGCCACAAAGACTGTCATTCACTTGGATGACGTGAAATCGGCACATATAACTAATCAGGCCAAAAGCTCACCATACAACAGATTCATAGTCGACTTCACGACGATAATCAAATCAAGATGGTTCGATCGGATGTGGGTTGCCCTGGAATACATCCGCAGCAAAGACGTCGTTATTCTTACAGAGGACTACATGGTATGCGAGCACAATGCAAGGGACTTATGTCTCCGCCTAGACGCACTGCATTCGAAATGGGTGAAGCAGCGAGGTAATTCTGACGTGACACAAGAGATATGGAAGCAGAACACGACCCTCAAAAGGATGAATTCATGGATAGACATGGAAGCATGGAAAAGCGAGAAAGGAATGTACCGGACCCTTGGATGGGCTATTGGGATATTGGGCCATCGGCAGTGTCGACGGTCCAGGGATTATTTCCTGGCCCTTGGGAAGATGTTGGACTTCGCTCCCATGAAAGATCCTCTTGTTCTCGTCGAGGATCGGTTCCAATACTTTCTATCTCTCGCTACGCATGCGCTGCTACTCGGAGACTACACGCCTTTGCTGTTTATACCACCTTCGTCTGAGAAAAGGGATAGCCGTGCGCCATGGCTGCGTGGATACTCTACAGCAGGTTGGAAAGTCTGGGACTTGGGTAGATGTCACCGGAAGGCGACGTAGGATTCAATTCTCAAAAATGGCAAAATCCAACCCACTCTCGAAACGGTGGGTGTCATTGAGTGGTTTGAATACTTCGCTTTTGAAGGAGAAGCTCGATCGGTCATTGACCACGTCCTATCCAAGACAGTCAGAGCCCAGGGTCGGGATCCCAAAGCCCTTTGTGAGGCCATGGACCGCATATTTCCGCTAGACAAGAGGAAAGCGGTGAACATGAATTGGAAAGACACTGAACAAGGTCATGCCGAAGTATACGACTTGCACAAGATACAAGGTTTTCTAGAAGAATACGAGACTTTTCTGGATACTGAGGTGGAACAAGAAGCAACCGTCAAGAGATTAGAGGTAGTGGAGAAGATCATTGCAGTTTTAAAACTAAATAAGAGAGGGAGCTATGAACGGGAGTCACGCCTAGATATGGCAGCAGGGGAAGCAGGCTGGTTCCTGAGGGAGTATGGAAAAGCAATGGAGGGGATAAGTCAAGTAAGCTGCAAGATCTGCGGTCGACGATTCATGTTTCGAATGACCGTATGGGAAGAACTGAAGCCAGATGGTGCACAACTCTACAGAATCCCTGGCCTTTTGTACGATGATACTGTGCCGGAGGGTGTTGGGATCGTGGTCCAAGAGAATAGGGTTCTCGGCAAAACAATGTATGCAACACCTGCTTGTGCGTGTGGTCGGCTGGAGATGGTTGAGCTTGGCTCAGCAGGGTTGTGAATTCATTTACAGAATATACTTGTGTTCAAAAACAAACCTTCCTAGCATTAGTCGACGCGACGCGACAACACAATTATAAACATTCTTATTGGGATCTCCAATAACCCTTCTACCAGTCTTGAGAAGTGATGAAGATTTCTCAGGCAATGATGAGAGTAAGATTTGGCCAAGTATCCGACCAGGACATAATAAAACTGACTGTAGGCGTAGGATAAGAGATGATCGTGACCGACTATAGGGTAGTTAAATCATGAGGACACTACAAGTTACCTTCGGTGAAACTGGTGCGTCTCGAAAAAGCACCATCCGCGACCTCCATTCCTCACAGCATCAAAGAATGACCAGGCAAGTTTCAAGCAAAGTTCCGACATTAGCATAAATAGCAGGTAAAAATCTTTTCACCACATTCTCAGATAGAATTTCTGACTATCGTGGCTGTTTTTCATCACGCTTCTGCGCTTTGACCTCAGCCGACAGGCTATGGGCTCACTGAGACTAACTCTCAGCTTTGGTAAGGAAGTCTCTGTCCTTCACCACAAATACAAAAGAAAACGACAACAGCCGCGGCCTTCCTCAAAGGGCTTCCAGTTTCATCCAGGAATGGTGATCGTTAAAATCAAAAGGAGGGAGTTGATTAGAGGGTTAGAAAAAGGTGTGAGTGCGTGATCAAAACATCTGTGCTGACGGTTGACGGTGATAGCGAAGGGGTATGTCCAAACAAAAAGTAAATACTAAAAAGGTGTAGGGATGATATCCAGGGTGAGTGCAGTGAAGTGAAGATCTCACCCCGGGTGGGGATATAGGAATATAAAAAACAAGAACCGAAACCAGCAAAAACAAAAAACACAAGATCCTAATACATGAAGCGCCGTTCCAAAGCCTTCCTTCTCTACTCCGCATCCTCCCTATCTCCTACAATACCACGGTCTCTCATGTTTCTTCCATTCTTAGATGCCGTAAAAGTAAAGTCGTAGTTTTGTTTTATGAACCCTGTTCTACAGGAAGCTTGTGAGCCATGGCACAAGAGCGCTGTATAGTAGGTTAGCAATCCATTCTGGTAATCAAGATGGGAGAAAAAGCGCTGGTTTCAGCACTCGACTTCGACTTACCCCACTGCCACTGTGGCTCCAATACCCAATAAAGCCCTGTTCTTGACGCGTGTTTTTCTGAGCTCAGTTTCGGTCTTGACCTTCTTCGCTCTGGGCTCTTCCTCTTCATCCTTTACTACTGTCTCTTCAGAAGTGGTCTGGTTCTTGGCGGCAGCCTGCTCGCTCTTCTTCTTCTTCTCTTCCTCTTCTTTATCTCCGAGGGAGATGTCCGCTGCCTTGCGCTTGGACTTCTTGCCGCTTTCCTTGACATCGACCGGCTTCTCTTCAACGGCCTCTTCCTCTGGCTTCTCCTGTGCCTCCTTCTGCTCCTTGACCATCTCCTTGGCGGATTGGATCATAGCGGCAATCTCTGCTGCGCTAGGTGGCTCGCCGGCTGAAGGTAGAGGCAGTTCAACCTCTGCAATTGTGTGCTTGGTTTCGACCCCCTTGCGGTTCTTCTTGATCTCCTCATCAATGTGGACCTTGAGCTTGGGATCCTCCTCCCTGGGCTCCAGAGTCACTTGAGGGTCAAACTCGGTTGTCGTGAGCACGATGTCCTCGTGCTTGTTACCCTTGGCATCTCCGTTCACTTGAGACTCCTTCTCATTCACAACTTCCAACGTCTCAGCCTTGGCCCTAACAGTTCGCTTTCGTGGCGATGCAGTGGATCGCCTCGTGCTCTTTGTTGGGCTAGCGCTCCTGCGAGAGCGGGTAGAGCGACTGGGAGTGGGAGGAGCTAGAACGGTCTTGGGAGCATCGGCAGCAGGCTCGAACTTGGGAGGCGCTGAGATGTTGGGAGGCGCAGAATCAGGGTTGTTGCTGGTAGGGTGGATGACGGCGTTGTCAAGCAAAGCGCGGATCCAGATACCAATGTTGTACTCCTCGGCCAGAGCCAGAGCTTGATCCGGAGGAATCCAGATGTTGCCGGCGGTCTCCTCGGGGCTCGTAGTAGGGAGAGACTTGATGAATTTGCGCTCAATCTCCTCGTCCGAGGCCTCGGCGTAGGGAAACGTGGCCTTAAACATGCCGGTCGCAGAGATGTAGCCGTCAAAGCTGCGCCTCATCAAGAAGTAGCTGTTGGGGCTCGACTTGAAGATGCCGGACACGATTCCCTTGGGGAGAGGAGCGCGCAGGTGGGCGTAATCGAACGCCGATCCGAGGCTGGCCTCGCCCTCTTCTCCGCTTGCGCTGACCATCTTCGGGGTCAGCATCGTCTGGCCCAATCGACGACGGGAAACAAGATCCTCATCTAGGTGCAAGTGTTAGCAGACGCATTCGTAGACGAACTAGGAGGGTCCTGTAGGCAATTACAGTCGTGAGTCGCGTCGACCATCAAGGGGTTCGACTTTTTCGGGAGCGCACGAGTGGGAGCCATCTCGACGGTATTCGTGAAGTCGCAAGCCACGGGTGAGCAGTGAGTTAGTGCAGGAGCAACGATGACACTCTCCGCGAGTCTGGAGAGCGTGCGACGAGTAGTCTCGGATATCTGTACATAAACAAGGAAGCGCAATCAGCCTTTTGCTGCCTTCGTCGCAATCGATAGGAGTTCGGTGGGTCGCGTTTCGAGGCGCCTTACAGCGAGGGGATGGATTCGTCAATCACAGTGGCAAGAGGAGACCTCGAGACTGTCAAGACGCGACAGCAAGTTGTGCGATCTTTCAGAGGGGAGGGCGTCGGCCAGCAAAATCGATGGACGGGAATAGCCTTCAGATTGAAGAGGGAAGATAATCAGAGCGTCGCGATGGAGGGCGTGAAGTTCGCGCAAATTAGGCCTTGGGCTTAGCGCCGTCTGCTCAGCGGGCTTTTCTGGGGATCCATCTGATTTAGGGAGGTCCAGGGTACGAGCCGTAGGTACTTGCACTGGCCCCGCCTGATGGACAGTACAAAATTTATCAGTGCTCCGCCGGCGAGATGCAAAGTCAATTTCATCGCTTGGCACGAGCGCTGGTTGGCTGAGCACGGGGTGCCATCTGATGCCATGTATCTCGCCATTCCGTCCACTCCAGACGGGACCCTGGCACGTAAAACTCCTTTGGGTGGCCACCATGAACCCTCCCTCCCACTAGGTTCCCTTTCCCTCCCCCCAACAATCCCGCCCTTAACCTGGACTGAGCTTTGGGACCTACCCGACTGACTAATAAGCGTTCATTAGCAGCGCTCTGATAATGACATCCAAAATTAGGTGCGGTGCCATAGCTGCCGAGAAACGTCCCTGGGGGTAGGGTTCAGGTTTCTGACTGCAAATCCTCTGGTGATGTGCCCCTCCCACCTTGCTCCCTTTTTCCTTTTTCCGCTTCTCCAGATGCCACCTCCATCGTCTCGAACACACCTGAGTCGCTCTCATCCTGACCGCCTGACGAATAGCATCAGACCAAGTTGCAGACCCATATTTCCCAAAGAGCTATCTTCAATTACCCCACTAGTGTAGTAATGAATCAATTAGTGAGCTGCAGAGCACAGTGCCCCCGTGTTGTGCCTCGCGCTCATCCAGCAACGGGCTTTTTCTGGCTTAGCTCGGCAAATGCCAGCTCTGGCGCTGCCATATTAGGCGTAGCACAGCATGTAGGGTAGCTGAGAAGGACAATAGGGGAGGGGCATAACTGACAGACCGCAACGGCAACCGACCGAAGATCCTTTACAAGCCGTCTTGCTCGCCATGCCTTGCAGAGAATGCAGGGCCAGTGCCAGTGATCCGGATCCTTTGATTACTGATCTTGCCTGGGAGAGGAGATAGGCAGGCACTGCAGGGTAGATATGTAGGTTGCCGCGTACCGACACTGCACACTACATACCAATGAGTATGGTCGTACTTTGGATGCGGAGTCAGCCTTGGTAGCGGTTCTAAAATCCTCCAAGCAGTGGCAGCAGTCAGCATCTTCCTCTTTTGGCACTACCGTTGAGAGATCCACCGCAATTTATAGGTACGGGAGGCAGTAGGCAAGAAGGCAAACATCTTGCTTAGCAGAGGCGGCGATGGAAGCAGTGAAAGCAAGCAGACGCCGACGACAAGCCACTTTGTCACATCTTGATGAGCCACCCAAATTAGAGCATGTTTAAGAAAGATAATTCCCATTCCTCTCGGAATTCAATATAAGATATTTTTCTGTTTCCAACGTCATCTTGGGCATGTTCTGGACACCGCCCGATTGCGTTGCTGTGCCTCCGCACAAGGTCCCTTTTCCAACGGATTGCTCACCTCACCCAATCAATGCACGAAATCGGTACCCCACCGTGGGTAAGATGGACTCGAGCTGGCCTGCCCCTCCATCATCACCGCCGCGCAGCTCTCCCTCTCCTCCAATCTCGAACGACTTCGCATCTTCAGCCTGATCCACGCCTGCATTTTCCTGCCATTGACTGCCTCTCTCACCCAGTGCATACAATCAGCTTTTCACAATGGCGTCCCACGAAGATGATACCATGCCCGAGGAGACTCAGGGCTACAAGCTCTCCCAGCCCAAGCAGAGCTTGGCCCAGTACCAGCAGATGGGTATGTTTACTTCAATTCTAGTCGCCATCAGCCTTCCAAGACCGGATTCGCATTTGCTTTTGGCTTCATCTATTCTGCCTCCACTTCCATAGAAGCTCAAATGCTTGATTCCTTACAATGTCCACTCCCATGATGCCCCGCCCCCTCAATCATAGCTCCAGGCGCACTCGCCGCCATTCGTGCTGCCTCTTGCCCAGCCACCAACACTGACTGGTCTGACCACTCCAAACAGACGCCGGCGACGAGTCCCTCCAGCGATACAAGGAATCCCTCGGCCTGAGCGGCGGCACCAGCATCTCCGACCCCAACGACCCCCGCGTCTGCATCATCCTCGCCCTGACCATGGACTCCCCCGGCCGCCCCCCCGTCACGATCGACCTCTCCCGGCCGGGCAGCGAGAAGAGCCTCAAGGACAAGCCCTTCAAGATCAAGGAGGGCGCCAAGTTCACCATGAGCGCCACCTTCAAGGTCCAGCACGAGATCCTCAGCGGCCTGCACTACGTCCAGGTCGTCAAGCGCAAGGGCATCAAGGTCTCCAAGGACTCCGAGATGATCGGCAGCTACGCCCCCAGCACCGACAAGCAGCCCACCTACATCAAGAAGTGTAAGAGAACCCCAACGCGTGATTGCTGGTTTTTGGAGTTCCCGAGTAACTAATTTCGTCGTCGATAGTCCAAGAAGAGGAGGCTCCCTCGGGCATGCTCGCCCGTGGCCACTACAACGCCATTTCCAGCTTTGTGGATGATGATAAGAAGAAGCACCTCGAGTTCGAGTGGAGCTTCGATATTGCCAAGGACTGGTAAGAGACCGGACGCCCGTCTGCGTTTCTCTAGGTCCCGAGGTGTCACGAGATATGACTTTTCTACGGAGAGTGAATGGCGGTCAGTTGTCTTTCGAGAAAAAGAATTAGCACATTTTGTTTCATAAGTAGCTAGCATCACTCAAAAAGTGAATATTGAATCCCAAGTTATACACAAATTCCCCCAGCTATCTGCAGGCGAGATTTCCCAGGTCATATACTCTCGATTTTGGTATCATACAATTGTAGTTTGCCTCTGATATTTATCAACATAGCGTCTGTCCGCGTCTATAAGCCATTATAAAAAGTAGTCCGGTAATGCATTGCCATCCTCTGCTCTCTCGCCACCAAGTTGTAAATCTTTATGTTGGTCGTTCTCGGGTGCAGCCGCAAAGACATTGAAGAACCGCTCGCCGTTGAGGCCAACTTCTAATACGCTAGCCATGTTGCCACAACGGTAGCAGTAGTTGGGGGCGCTCCAAACCGTGCTGAGGCGATCGTCGTATAGGATTTGGAAGCCTTCCTGGCATAGTTGATGTGCGCGAAGGATATGGCCCATGCCGTTCACAGCTAGGAACTTCTTGACCACCTGGGCGCCGAATGTGTATCCCGCACCACGTGGCGACAGGGAAAATTCGTCTCGGTCAGGATCTGGGTCAGACCAGACCAGATCGGCCATGGGTCCTTCGTGAGGAATTTCGCGGAATCGGTCGATAATCTTAATTTGATCGATCGAGTGGATGGAGGGAGAAAGGCCTAATTCCGTAATTAGTTATCACAGCATGGCATGGGCAAGGCTCAAGACAGACAAACCTCCGTGAACGCAGAATATTTGGTTGTCGATCACGACACTCAGCGTCAGAAAATCGAACATATCGGTGAAGTAATGCCACACATTGGCATTGCCATATTTCCGGGAGCATTCGGTATAGAATCCGTATGACTGGGTGACGCCGCGTGACTCGTGGTTGCCGCGGATCAAGTGTACTCGGTTGGGATATCGCAGCTTCAAGCACACCAGGAGGGAAATGGTCTCGACGCTGAACATGCCCCGGTCCACGTAGTCGCCGAGGAAGAGATAGTTGGTATCCGGGCAATACCCGCCGATCTTGAAAATCTCTATGAGATCAAAGAACTGCCCATGGATATCGCCGACGACGGTTATGGGAGCTGCGACATGGACGACGTTGCTCTCCCGCATCAGCAGTTCCTTGGTCTTGGCGCATATTGCTTCGATGACGGATTCGGCCAGTAGCTCCTTTTTATATAATCGCGCGATACACTCGTCGAGGTCGACGGATGCTTGGGAGGGTTAGCGCTGATGCGGTCGAGGTTGCTGTTGGGGAGGCTCACATGGAAGGCTTGGCATGGTGGTCAGGATAGGGAGAGGCCCAGCAGAGCTTCTCGAATGTGGTGGACTGGTAGACTTAGCAACAACGCTGCCTGCGCGTCTGCTATCAACCTTTCATTAAGGCTTGTCGGGGTTGATGTTGGTTCTGCTCCAGGCGAAAGCTATGACTGGAGGGGCGCCAGCTGGATGCACCAACATGATCGGTTCAGCACCCAAGAATTTTCACATGGACGCTGCAAAGCAGGCTGGCGGTGGCTCGTATCCCGTACAGTGGACTGCGAACTGCGGCTCGACGTTGAAGCTGTGCGTGTACAGACACAGGCGAGGTGATGGCGGATGGGCATAAGCTCTCGTGTGTTCTAGTACCAGGGAAGCGACATGGCAGAAGAAATTCTAGCCTTCCGTGGCGGGCTGCAGGCGCGGTGTACCTGCTTGCCCTCCAAGGCTGGCAGCCCTCGGAAGTACCTCCTGCCAGCGCACTCGGCGTTAGATTGGCTCGCTACCTCCAAGCTGGCCCCATGGAGATTTATCAGCAGACGGAAATTACGACGGAAGACCGGCGTGCACTCTGCAGTGAACGATGCCTCTTTTACAAGCAAAATATGAACTTAGATGATACTATGGCTATCAGATGCAGAGCGAGAGGGTCGTAATCTGCTGTGCAGCAGCCACATGTCTGTACAACGGTGCTGGCCAAGGGTGCCGTATTGGGCCGTTGCTCAGGAATTAAGCTTCCACCCCAACGCACCCGAGGCAGAGGCCCAACTGCCGCCTGTCAAGCAGCAGGACTCGGCGTGCCACAGCTGTAGCTCGGCAGCCTGCTGGCATGCGAACGAGATCGGCAAGCTGCCATCGCTGGACTTGTCCGTTCGTGGGGAGCAGAATGGTTCGTCGCCCTCTGGCGCTGTGGTACACCAGAGTACTTCCAGGTACCGGCACCGGTACAACCAGGCACCCAGCTGGCTCGGCAGATGCTCGGGTGTTCTCGCTATTCGCTGCCCTGTGACGGCCATTTCAGCGCTGGTAGTGATGCTGTGGTCCGTGCGTCTGACGTCTGACTAAGTGGTTCGCGATGTACCACAAAGTGCTCCGGGGTGAAACTTTGGCCGTCGAGTTTCCTGCCAGGTCCGGCGCCTACGGTCAATCGCATTTTGCTGTCGAGGCCCATTCAATGAGGCGACAATAAGAGCCTCTTTCACAAGGCCATTTGGGGCTTTGGAAAGAGGCTATTGAACACACCAGGCTGGGCGGTTGCGCGTGCATTGAGAAGGTAATTCCGCTTGTACGCCCCATTGCAGCATGTGTGAGTTGTTCGACTGACCTCAATGCCAATGCTAATGCAGCTTCGACGACGGCCGGCCGACGACGACTGCGTACGGCTGTCAGTCCTGTGTGCTGCTGGGGGAGCTCACCCAGTCCTCACCCAGTCCTCACCCAGTCCTCACCTTATCAAAATCAAAACAAACCCTCTCTCTCCCTCTCGCTCTCCCTCTCTTCAAAACAAACCTCTCACTTTCTTCCAACAAACCCTCATCCTAAACCTCTTTGCATCCTCGTTGTGAAATCCCCATCATCCACGGCTTTTCACACAACACCTTCAAACCTCTCTCTCCTCTAATTCCTTGCGACTAACCTCCATCCTCACAACTTGTCTCCATCGTTGCAACTTGCCTCCATCCTCGCAACTTTCGCGTTGCAACTTTCTCCAAAGTTGCAACTTTCTCGATCGCTGCAACTTTCTGCATCATTGCAACTTTCTTCAGTTCTCGCAACTGACTTCAATATCATCACTTGATTCAAAGCTCACGTAGCAAAATGGCGGACGGAGGTCCCCAAAAGCCCGGAGGGGACGAACCCTTCTGCACCAACTGCGGCGTGGTTGGCCACTTGCCTACTATCTATTGCCCTAGCAAGAGACGTGAACGAACAGCGTAAGTGATTCATCCTCATCATGGACATGGGAATACAAGCTTACCTGAATTTAGCGGATCTGAGGCCCAGCTGAGCTCGGCGCAAGACGCCCAGAGAAGTGGCAGGGACCGTAACCGTGGTGGGAGGAAGCGTTACGCTCCCCCTGTTATCAACCGGTATACACGTCCAGGAACGCAAGATACTTCAAGCTTTCCTCCTCCTGTATTCAATCAGGCGCATCCAGCGTCATATGGAGCGCAACAGCCTCCGTTTGTGCCTACCCCACCCCCGAGCTTCAATCCATATCACCCCCAGTCACAGTATCCTGCAGGTCAATACCCTCTGGAATATCCAAATGTCTTTCCTGCACCTCATCCACCTCAGTCATATGGGCCTCCTCCAGCCGGTCCCCAACTGACAGATATGCCTGGCAACCTTCCGCCAGGACCGCCCTTGGGGCCTCCACCGCCGCCGTTGCAGGTTCACCAGGGCGGTTTCCAACCCCAAACACCGGCGCCTCTCTACTCTCAGGTTCCTGGTAGCTACCCAGCTCCTCAGCCAGTCTACTCGGGACCTCCTGGTAGTTACCCAGCTCCTCAGTCAGTGCATTCGGGACCTCCTGATATGACGCGAGCTTCCAGACGCTTTGGACCTCCATCAAAGCAAAAAAATGTTTCTGGTACCTCTGATAAGCGCCAGTCCAGCGGGGGATCAAACCCGGAAAAGCAGTCAAATCAGGCTCCACAAAGCAAGCCTCCCACGACGCCAACTGAGCCAAGTGAAGAGATTGACTATAGTCTGCCACAGAAGCCGGTAACAAAGCTTCCTCCTCCATATCAACATCCGGCACATCTAGTCAACCAAAACAGGTTGGATAAGCGGCGTAATCAGCGAAGCCAGAAGCAGCAAGAGCGGAGCTTGTCCAACCGGGATAAGGGTAACCAAAATGGAGGTGCCAATAACCGACGAAATTCTAGTCATAGGAAGCAAAACACTTCCAATAAAAGCGACAGTCCACGATTTCGCAAGAGATCTAGAGACGGCGCTCCAGTTGAGGATGCAAAATCGGCTCCCAAGACTCAGAGTTCGCCCAGTAGACTTGAGGAAGATGTTGAGTCAAATGAGACATCGACGCCTCTCAAGACCTCTGAGAGTGAACTGCCTACTGAAGTAGGCTCTAGTAATCTAGAAGCTACAAAGCTCCATGATCAGGAGGAGTCAAACGTTGCAGACCAGCCGAAGGAGAACTCAGACGACGTCAAAGACGCCAGTCTCAACTCCGATGGCGGGGATACAAATAAACTCACGCACGATGATTCTGCTACAGACGTCGTCAGCAAGGATATAGAGCGTGCAGATACTGCTGAAAATGACTCTCCTATCAACACAGAGGCAAAGCTCTCAGCTGATGAACCTGATGTCAAGCAACAATGCTCAGAGGAGGCAAACCTCAAGACATCTGTTGATGCAGGGGAGCCAAGCGATCGTCAAGAAATTGGACGAAAGCGTAGACACACAGATGAGGAGGATGACTCTCAAGATCGTCTTTACAAAAGACGAAAGTCATCTGAAACTGAGGGTCAACCCACGGAGTCACTTCAGGTGAACGAAGGTGAAAATGGTCCTCACTCGTCTGAACATATCAGCCTCGCTGCTCCACTTGAAGAGCAATTGCCCACAAATAGGAGAGATTCTATTCTTAGCAACGAATCCCGGCCTGCCTCAAGAAGGTCATCCATCTCGAGTCGATCCTCGGGATTGGACTCGTTGGAGCTGGAGCTTCTCGGTCTTCCCGTCAAAGGGGAATCAAAGACTGAGAAGTCAAAGAAGAAGTCAGAGGGCCGTGGGGTTGTCAAGAAGCGACAGCCGGTCAACTCTGCTTATAAGTATGTTCATCCTCGCCTGCCCGCGGAAACAGGGTGCTGATACTTCTCTAGTCGCCGATGGTAAACCCGGCTGATTATTCTTATGATCTTCTTTCTGTTTTTTCTTTTTTGCACAGCACTCTCCTTCACATCTTTGAATGTTGCCTTCTTTCTTTGAATTTACGAGATCGTTTTGTTCTCCTACATGTTGTGCTATCAGGCAGGCGTTTTACAGAAACGACGGGGAGGTTATTGAGCACATTGAACTTGCATTGTATCCTTTCTTCTTTTGATTCATTTTCCAGTTGGCATTGGGACAGCCTCCTTCTACACACTTATCCTCTTCCCCAATAAGCGGCCAATGGTGCCATCTTTCATGAAACTTTCTCTTTTCTACCCTCTAGACATATTCCATCCTATAGACATCACGTGTCACTTGTGACCAAACCACATTGGAAAAGTTGTTTCTGTTGATCAACTATAAAACTTCCTAAACCCACGCTCACGTAGCCATGTGCTACCTGCGATCCTGTCATTACCGTCATTGAACTGTAGTTCTGAATTTCCTTCTCCATATGTGCCTATTCCCACGGGCACGCCAGTCCTTTCCGAAAATCTTAAATAGAGCCGTTCTCTCACCGAGGCGCTCGTCTACGAAGTCACTCTTACCCAGAGTGACTCTGGACCTTGAAAGACCGGCTGCCCGAATAGGAGCCTACAAAAACCTTTGTCCCATGGCCATATGGCGACTCCACTCTAAACCGCGAAAACCATCCATCTCCTCTCGTCGACGAGAAAACGACGATGAAAAAAAACCTACGAAAGAGCGGTCGAATAGACGCCAGTTCGCCAAGCATATTCCAGTCTACTCAGAACCACAGACACGCTTTCCTCACACGATCGTGCTGTGCGTGTGGCAGGGCCTACATTCCTAAGCCATCGACTCGACTATCGGCCTGGCCTGCGAAGACTATCGCTCGAAAACGCTCTCCATCGCCCCGCGGTTCACCCGAGTGGCCCAAAAAGCAACCAAAAAAACACAAAAAAATAAGGAAAAACGACTACGAAAAAATCACCAAAAAAATCAGGAAAAGGAGAAGATGATGTCTGGTCTACTTGTATGGAACATTTCGATACGGAACCTCAAAACACAATGGGCACCAACAACACCCCTCTTGGTCTTAACTGATTGAGAGGGGTGGAATGTAAAGGGAAGGAGTTTTTCGAGACTCCATTACTGGAGCATGGATCCGGTGCTTGAATTGCAGAGGACTTTTTTTGGTACGGAATCGCAAAAGAGCAACGGTGCCAGATCACTCTCTTGGTCTTAATTGATTGAGAAGGGGAACATGTAACGGGAGGAGTCTTCGGACTCAGTACTAGAAGCATAGAATCTGGTCTCTGTTTGTGAAAGGAAAAGACCGAGCTATAGAACCGCGATACTCAATGGTGCCAGTTCTGGAACTGCACCCAAGTCAGTCAATCGAACGTTTCTCTCAACTCTCTTCTTTTCCTTGCTGTGAATGATGATGGTGATGTGATGCCGTGCGAAGCAAACATTGAACACTGCGTGATAATAAAGGCCAGTGCGAGATGCTTGATGATTTCTGTTGAATACTACAGATCACTAGACAGGTAATCTTTGCTTTCTCTTCTTTTCTTCTTCTTTAGTAAAATAGCTGAGTCAAAGGATGAAGGGGGTTGGACTCCTGCTGGGCAAGGCTTTCCGTATGAGAGGCAAAGTGTGTAAGATATGCGATGGAATGATATGATGTAAATAGAGACCTCAAGTCCAATTGATGCCTAGCCCAAACCTAGCCTAGTGTAAAAATGTGAAGAAGATTGTCATTCTAAAAGTTGCATGAGCGGTTGCACAAGGCATCACCACGGACGACGTTGACGACGACGACGACGACGACGACGACGCACATACATGTGTATACATACACTCCTGCCCCTCATCTATCTAAGACACTTTCAGACACCCCTCCAAGAGGAGGGGCGAGGGGAAATAGATCGGCGGCCGGCTTTCCTAAATGCAATGTCCTTCCAATCAGCTGGCATGCCATGACTTTCTTGGTTGTACTCAGGCAGGGCCCCCGCGCTCTAGTTTCTGGGGGCGTGGATCTCCCGCATCTGGGGTGCATGTCAGGGTCAGGGGTTGGTCAGCTTGGGGCCGTATCCCCGTTTCAAGGTCGACTACAAGAGCCCTGCTTCCCTCCAATCACCAGCCCCTACATGGCCTCGAGTAGACGGGCACACAGTGTCAGCTGGAAGATGTGGACAGTATCTCAATGGGAGTAGATATTATTTGGTATACTGGAAATAGGAATTAAGTAGAACTACCGCTAGCAAAACATCATTATCAAACTTTTGTTTATCCAATCGTACCGAGCCCGAATAGTAATACAGGGCTTGGGTTCAATGCTCAAACTCCAGGAATGGGTGGCAGACGAAATGTCCCAGTCCATATTTAAACAATCAAATGCTCAAAGCCCAGACCTTTCAAATCCTGTAGCCAGTGTGCTCGACTATCCATGTTTCCGGCCTTGGCTGCAGCATCTTGTAGTTGCCAAGTCGCTTTGAGCATCTCGATTGCAGTAAAAATGTACCCCCAGCGGCAGGTTTCCCACATATCCAGCAGTCTCTTTAGGGTCCAAGTGCGTTTTTCTGCATCGCAAGTTTCGGCACCGGCTATGAATGTTGGCCATGATGAAGCTTTAAAATAGGGATCATCGTGCCCCAAAGCAGCAACATGTTCTAGAATATCCTTGACTAATAGGTCTGTATCGACTGGTCTCAAGGAACGGACAAGCGGTAACGCCTGCAGGATGTATAAACAGGCGGCAGACCGATGCGCAGAAGCTACATGTACTCGACTTTCAACATCTGTTATGTGTGGAATCTGGCGTAACTGCTCTGCCCACGCTGGGATATCGAACGTCAGCGCTTGGTCAATAAGAGAAAGAGCTTCTTTTGTAGGAGGAAGCGACCAACTGCAGATAAAGTTAGAATAATGGGCTGACAGAGTAAGATAGTGAGTGTTGTTAACATACGTGTCAGTACAAGGGGTATCATAAGATAATTGTGAAGCCATGAGGATGATCTGGAGTATTTCTGGAGGGCAGGATAGCGAGCTCGTGACCTCCACTCTCTTCATCACTGGTAGTAAATCGAACGCGTATTTAGCAATCCGAGCTGCCAGACCTCCTGACGACAGAGTTGAGCCAAATATGTGGTATCTAAGGGAATTGTTAGCTCTAGCACAGCCTTTGTGTTGATGCTTCTCTGTGTGGAACTTACATGAAGCAATCCGCAATGACACAGTCTCGAAGCGTCCTACTTGAAGAGCTTCTCATATTGTCTGGTGTGAGTAGTGCCATGATGCTAGCCGCGCCCTCAAGATGTGCTTTCCAACTAGATGGATCTTTCTTCTCAACATCGATGAGGTCAAACTTGATGAAGAAGTGCATGGCGGCCAAGGCAACTTCACTCCCTGCAGGATCCAAGGTATCAAGGACCTCGCGCATGTGAACCATCGCCTTCTGCTTGGCAGTGAGAGCATCGATGAGGGCTTGGCGGGACACCAAGTCCCTCGACCTAAGCGAGGCAAGATACCCACCGGGGTCGGTGAGGCCGGTAGATATGTCGGTGATTGGCCGGATGATATTGGACCAGTGTATGGCTGAGGTGGCAATGAGGATCTGAAGTAGAAGGGGGTGCTTTCTTGTCATCGGTAGCAATTCCCGGAACGGGTTACTGCCAGGGCTGTCCCTGCCGACAAGGTCTTGACAAACACGATCAGCGACTAGGATTGCGGAGCAATATGCATTAGCATTCAGTCTAGAACGTCCAGGAAGGGTGTGTCATGGTGTTGCATGCAAGATGTGGAAGGGTGGTCTGCCGAGGAGGCGGTAAGGGTTGACAGGCGTGAGTGTATGCGTATACTCCTCCCTTGGCAAATGCACCGAGATGCATACGCCTAGCCTGACAAGGATTGTCATGTAGGGACCAAAGATTACTGTCGGGATACATTGAGCCGACAAAAACGAGGCAAAGGAGTGGTTGAAGAAGGAGATCACGGGAGCTCAGAGTGAATAACAACTTACAGTAAGCGAGGTAAGATCTGGAAGGGCGGTCCAGGTCTTGAAAAACGGGATCTGTGAGCACCATGGCTGATGCGGTTCCGGGCTCGGGCGAAACTGCTGGACACATGGACTCGTTCGTTGGCATTAGGGGTTGAGCGTGCCCCTGGTGAGGATTCGATGGAGGAAGCGTCATATCACTGCTGCTCATCATGATGGGGCTCGTAGCAGTGCTCGACGCCGCGGAGACGTGGGGATCTGTAGCATGGCGGCTGGATTGCGTGGGTTTCAAATTGCCATGGGAATCAATCGCCTGTGTCGTCCACACGAACACCTTGCCGTACCCGAGGCACTCCTGCCCTGAGACCGCGCATTTGTGGCATGTTGGCCATGAGCGGTCGCAGCGCAGGCGTCGACGACGACAGTTGTGACACGGCTTGCTTGTGCTTGGCATGCGCCAATCTCTGCTGCCTCAGATAGCGTCTTCTTTATCGAAGGCCAGATCTGAGACAAAAGAGGATAGAATATCTCGTTGGTGGTCCAGAGAGAGTCGATTGATGGGGGATACCGGATGTAAGAGATAGTGGTGGAGGACCCTCGACTTGGAAGATGGCAGTCTATAGTCACGAAAGATGCTGATGAGGGTGTGAGGCAGACGGCACACACAAAACAAGGTGGTGCTTTGATTATCGTACTAGCGAATGGTGGTAGATCGGAGATAAACAAGTGGCTTGTTGGATGGTGCAAATCGGCTCGGCTCTGGATGGCGGGGGAAGCCGAGTCGTCGTTATAATCCGGATCTAATCATCTCTGTTTCTGTTCAGGCTTTATATTCTACCTTTCTGCCTTGTAGCATCGACTCTCTGATGCTTTGTGTCAGCCTACTATTCCGTTGCAGCCTGCCTTGGCTGCGTCGTATGGTGATCCGTAGGTCAGGTAGGTTTAGATGGTCAAATTTTCCTTGCCACACCTCGAGGATCAGGATGATATCACAGCTCGCTGGACAAATAAGACGGCACAGGCGAATGCTACAAGAGTGAGGCGGGCGATGCAGCTCAAGTAGGATCAGGAAGCCGGCGGTGCCAGCGAGGGAGGCGAGGAGATGACGCAGAGAAAAGAGAACTGACGAGAGGGCTCGATGGGTCTTGCCTGAGCTGCACGGTTTCCCGTTCGGAGCGTGTGCTTGGAGTGAGTGATGCAGGATGGAGGTGATGCAAGCGGAGGGGGGTGTGGCTGTCTAAATTTCCTAACCCCAAGCTCCCCTCACCGTGGGTGGTGCCTTCCCCGTACAGTAACCAACGACAGCTGCAACGTGCCTGCCCCCAGCGTACCTGCTGCTTGCCTTGGGTTAATTAATCCGCTCAGGGCAAGCACTGTATTACTGTTCGCGGTTAGTCCGCGGCCTACAGAACTGGCTCGTTCTGGCCTGGCTGGCAGTAGCTCGGAGAGCAGACCGTGAGCACGGTAATTAGATGTGGCCTGTTGGCAGTCTAATACGCCCCAGGGCCAGGGCACGAGGGAGGGTCGGGTCAGGTGGACAGCAAAAATCGATAGGTGAGCGGAACCGCTGGGCTAGGGAGCAGGTAAAACATCAATCGGTGAGGCAGCAGGTGGCACATCGTGAGGTCCGGACTGTAGGAGCACTTGAGCCCGGCCTTGAATTAATCATTTTTGCTTGACTAGTGGACGACGACTCCGCAAGCCCTGCACATACCTACATGACAGAACTGGGGGAGGGGAGACAAGGAACCTAAACAGCGTGTGAGATGAACCATGTCTCATCTGCCACCACCAGCTCCTCGCTCAATCACTATCGCTTGCCGCATACTGTGTTTGAGGCCCTTCATGCACGTTGGTTGATGGACAGCCAGATGGCCCACGAGGTGGATAAGTGAGGCGGCCTGTTGCTTCGCTAGTGGGTGGGATCGAAACCCGAAGACTGGCCGAGTCTGCGCCCTACCGAAAATGGAAACCTTCATACACGACGTGCGTCGATGTGCGTCCGACGACGGCGTTGGAGACCGGGACCTGCAGCGCTGGCCCAACCTTGGTGGCCTTCTAGCCACTCTGACACTTCTGGGTATCCACAAGTCCGCTGGTGTAAGTGAGCCAATGTGCCTGTATGGAGCTGCCCAGATACATAGTTGCCTCAACTCAACGATGATCCATCCGATCATTCTTGCGACTTCTAGCAACTGCAGCCACTGCTTCAGCGAAGAAGCCGTGTGTGTGGGTGCCGCAACTTTACCGCTCTCCCCCATAGCGATCCCGCCCACCATTTGTCAACATCCCAAACCCCGCTGTTCCGCCGCTCGGATCATCAAGCTTCGACGTAAAGACTAGCTCTGAGCTCCACTTACTGACAAGCTTGACAGGGGGCTTAGGTCAAGAGCCGGTCCAACAAGAATGTCAGTACCGCGTGACACCTCCGTTGACCAGGACCCTTAAGACCCTTTAGATCCAAGACGGGAGGTTTCAAGAATGAATCTGGCCTAAAGCTATGAGCAACGAGCTGGGACCCAGGGAATGTTTTTTTTTTCTTCCAGCGTCAATCGTAGTCGCAGAGTGGTGCCGGAAGGAGATAGAATTGAACATAGCATTGACTTGCACCCAAATTAGTGCTCTTTGAAAGCTACAATGGTTCATCATTTACCCCTTTTTGATTATATCAAGTATCAAGTTGTTTTCTCTTTCCGTTTCCTCCCTACACCCGCCTGCGGCGATTATCATTATGACAGAATTTGCACAGGCAGAAAAACTCCTGAAAGACGTGGCATCGTCATTAGGTATGGACTGTTTGTGACTTGTCGCGTCCCGCTAACATGACCAGCCCAATGACGACGTCCCTGGCGCAAAGGCGACAACCACTGGCCAATAAAAAGTAGAACGCTAATAAGGTTTGTACAAGAGATGTTTCATATGCAACTGGCGACCAATTTGATTTGTAGCCCGTCATATCTCAATGTTTGTCGAAATGTCCTTGCTTGATAAGACAACATAAAGGGGCTTCCTCACAAACTGGGTGGTACATTGCATCACTTCAGAGAAGGAGTGAAAACATATTAAAAGAAAAATTCGCCCGAAGACAAGCGAAAGCTTACAGAATAGTGTAGATCCCCGCTCAAAATAATGATCAACTTCAACTTGAACCTCCTTGAAGAGAGTCCGATTCGGCTAGCTGAATTTGGTTATCATAACCAGACCGAGCTCTCTTATGTTTGGGTATTAATAATACCCCAAATTAGCATGCAATCAAGTTAAGCCACTTGCAAGTCCCGTTAGACGTGCATAATCGGAAACTTGACAACTACGAGGAGAGAACGCCGCGGGGTGAGTGGATTGATGTGAGTTTATACAGACTGATCCTTGCGACCTTGACAGCAGGCTTTAGTTGCCGTCGTATGAACAGATCCACTTTGAACCGGCCCAGAACGAGCTACTTGGTCACCAGCCAACTCCTGAAGGCATGTTAGATCTTGCCAAGAAGGGGATGGCGACAGCACGATCCTGCAATGCAACGGGCGAGAGGCCTCGAATGCCGCAAAGCTCACGATGCTCACGATGCTGAACTTTTGGTATCTAGACGCGCTCATTTTGGCATGCCGAGTATGATACATCTTAAAATCTACCTACCACTACAGAGACAGATATGCACACTCATTCCCCGTGGAGACATAAAGATGCTCTCGGCTGTACCGGCCCCCCTATATCCTGGCTCAATGCAAAGCGTTCTCGTTTCACTTGTCGCTCCTCGGTGTATCAATCGGTACGATATTTACGTGACATTTAGGGCCCATAGGGCATCATCAAGCCCCCAGACAGGTTGTCACGCGCAGCAGGTTCAAACCCTGCAACTTGCCGGCACGGTCGCATGGCGGGGGCATACACTGCGAGCCCAGGGAGCAAAGAAAATTTCAACGCTCAGGTGCTTACATGAACAGCGTGGTCGGATCCTCGTGAGGTTGACGGAGGCCACAACGGCGGGGTTTTGAGTGTGAGAGGCATCCTGGGCGCAGAGTGTCGCATACGCCCCCCAGACCCCTCGGGAGTTTCCTTAAGTTTACCGCCCGAGTATTGTTCCGCAAAGACTTGATGGAAGTTGACTGTTGTCCCCTAGTGACTCTCCAACGCCAACCAGACTACTTGCGGATGAACAGTCTAAATCAGACGCTTGTATGCAACTAGTATCTAGAGCTTGATTCTTAATATTTACATTTGGATGAACTAAACGGCACTGCTTTGCATCTATGGTTACCATACCTATCTCAACCTAGATAGAGTCACGAACATAGAAAGCGAAAACAAGACCGTGATGCTGGCAGGCCATCATAGGGGTAGGCAAAGCTGACGAAGCCGGGGTTTTACGTGTTTACGATCCAACTTACCTGCTCGAGGCTGCTCGAGGCTGCAGCTGTTGATCGCATTCATCTGGATCGCGGCTAGCGAGATCAGGGACGGGTCTGACTGACCTGCCTGTTGCTGCAGCTGCTGATCCTATTCGCGAGAGTCAGTGTGGATAGGATCAGACCTACTTTCTTGAGGCCGCTCGAGGCTGCGGCTGTTGATTATATTCATAAGGTCCATAACAAACGCGCGTACTTCCTCGCAATACCACGGAACACCTTCCTCGCAAGCTCACGATGGCATCATCGAAGACGGGATAACCCGAGAGCTAATTTTCTCTCGACCAGTAGCCGATTGTTTGAGAATCCAGTAACTAATAGTTATCGATGTGTGAAGTAACCTACCCTCAATTAAATATATAAAGCTGGAAGCTGCATCTAACCCCTAAAGGGGCCAGATAACACCTTCTCTTTTCCAGCTTTGCCTAACAAGAGCTTTGGTTAAGTCAGAGAAGGCAATCTTAGTACATATTCTCAATTAAAATTGTCACCAAGTAACAGATGCGGTCTGAAGCCCCGTTGGCTCAGTGGTAAAGCGTATCACTAGTAATGATAAGATCACTGGTTCGATTCCAGTACGGGGCATCCGTTTCTTTTTGCATTTTTCTTGTCTTCCAACCTGGAATGCCATCGCGTCTTCTGTTTTTATTCCTCAACAATTTTGGTAAATCCGTAGTTCACTGTCTTTTTGTGTGATGTAATAATTCGCCTACCCATAGCTCCTCGCCGACGGCAAACAAGCTCTCCAACGGATATGAACAGTGACAAATGCAGGTCAGACAGATGCAAATCATGCGATTCCAATTCGCCTTGATCAACACAAAATGCAGGAAGGTGTAGTCGGCTAGGCAATGATTTCTACCTATCGGACACGCTCTTTCAGTCAATGTCTTACCTACAACTGAGATGCGCGGCCTCCTGTATGAAGCGCGCGGTATCCAGCTGATCCTGTTGGTATTTCAACGAGCTGCTTCTCTCAGCCAGCCCGTAACAAAAGTGAGTGTTTTAGATCACATCAAGATGGAACACGTAGATTGTGCCTTTTGAAGCCCTTCGCAAACTCGATAAAGCAAGCCTTCCTGGTATACTGGTATACCAGACGCCACCAGTGACTTCAGAGGAGCCGGGTCCCAACCCATCACCAAAATTTACCGCCGTGAAGCCTCAACAGCAAAAATCGCCATGCAATCAACTCTTGACACCCACCTCACATTTGGTTTCGCACCTGGCGGTCTAAATTTATATCATACGCGGGGTTGCATGCCTTGTTTTTCAACTTCAATCGTTTTGGCACACGCACCTTCTCCACCTACGCGCCTTCCTCTCCTTGCACCTTCCTCACCTTTTGCTCACTCTCGCAGGTCATTTGCCCTACGTGGCTTACCTTTTCGCTCTTTTTCTTCAACACACCACGACTTCCTGCCTGTCAAGTAAATTCTCCTCTTTCATTAACTTCTCTTTTATGCTGATCAAGTCTACGTCCATCTCGCAGCAGGATAAACGCCACCGTGGATGCTTAACGCTTCCCTTGAGCCTCTGATTCTGCAAATTGGATGACCCAGATGGAACAAAAATGAATATTCAAGATCTCGACGCGGAGAGCCTCCGGCTCTTCATAAAGCTTCAATCCGAGGACTTGAATTTACCTCAACAATGGAAAACGCAACGCCAATCAACCCATGTCAGACAATCAATTGGCAATGTGTCTCTACAAGGCGGAGCTTGAGAGCCTAGCATCCTTCAGCGCGGACCAAGCCATGTGCAGAAGTATTTCTCACGCTGTAGCAGTAGATGGTGCTGCGATAGTCGCTCATAGACGAGTTGAGCACCAGGCCAGAAGCGACCGACAGCATGCCTTGGCCTTAAGCACAAACGGACAAACCGCCACAGCAACATCAAAACATTCTACAAGCTTGCCCATGAAAAGACATGGGGAGGGGAGTCCTCCTGCTTCTAATAAACGCGTCACAGTGCCAACGCTTCCGAAATCGAGCCTTGTAACAGGCGAAGGTCAAAATGTCACGGCCACACCAAAGAAAGCCTCTTCGCCCTATGATTGTTTGGCCTGCTGCGAACGCATCTACTACGACGACCTCACGACTTCCGGATGTGAACATCATTACTGCAGGGCCTGCCTTGTAAACCTGTTTCAGAGCTCTTTTACGGACGAGTCGCTGTTCCCGCCCAAATGCTGCCATAAACAGATTCCTTTCGGTTTGAATCTAAGATTCTTCTCTAGGAGTCTTCGTACTTCGTTCAACGAAAAGTCCATCGAGTTCACGACACCCAACCGAACGTATTGTCATATCAAGACATGCTCGGCATTTATCCCTCCTTCCTCTATCCAAGGCGATAAGGCTGTGTGCAGAAAGTGTAACTGGTCGACTTGCACACACTGCAAAGGTTTATATCACGCTGGTTTTTGTCCTCAAGATTCGGCTACGCAGGAACTTCTTCGTATCGCAAAGCAAAATGGATGGCAGAGCTGTCAGTCATGCCACAGAATCGTGGAGCTTTCCACCGGGTGCAATCATATTAGTAGGTTTCTCGTCACCTCCCCCCCTTCGCCTCTTATTGCAGCATTTTAACCTGCAACTCGCTAACCTATGGATTATAGCTTGTGTGTGCAAACACCAGTTCTGCTATGTGTGTGGAATGAAGTGGAAGAGCTGCAAGTGCCCACATTGGGATGAGCAGCGGTTATTGACCCGAGCAAACAACATTGTCAACCGGGACGCAGGCGCTGGGGCGATGGCTCCTGCGGTGAGGGCTGCGCAGATTGACCGAGAGAGAACGAATTTGATACAAAATCATGAGTGCTTACACGAGAGATGGCAATCTCGGAGGGGTGCACATCGGTGCGAGGAGTGTCACGACCGTCTGCCATTCTTCATATTTGAGTGCAGACAATGCAACATCATGGCGTGTGGGCGGTGCAGATACAACCGCCTTTGATAATGATGCAGAAGACCTAAAAGAATCCGGCAAGTTCTGAGGTTTAGTACTGCAGGGCCTGCCTCATTCGCCTGTTCAAGACGACTCGGTGTTTCCTCCGTAATGTAGTCATAAATAGATTTCTCTCAGTAATAATCGGAAATTCTTCTCTAACAGTTTTTATACCTTGTTCAAGAAAGGTGCCATCGAGTTTACAGCGAGAGGATCTTGCCCTCGTGCAGGAGAAGCTGCCTTATGGGCAGTGGCAGAAACGTGAACGCCCCAGGATTGCTCAAAAACACGATGGTTTTCCTGGCTTAGGAAGGCTATTCTTAAAATAAAAAAGATTATGAAGATGTATACTGCCCCTAGCCGCGTAAACCAAGGTGAGGTCTAGGCTAGAAGCGACCACCGATCCACCTTGAGGTCTGTTCTCAATTGAATTGTAGAATTATATCGTACCGCCGTCTCAACTATAACCTGGAGGGAGTCGACCTGGGAGACGAGACCTGGACCACCGCCGCCGCTACCACCAACCCCGCCGCCTCTAGAGGAGAAGAAACCCGTGCCTGTCCACGGTATGTAGTATGGAATTGCTCTTATCTTAATGCTATATCCCTTACCAGAGTTGATGGCATTATATGTACCAGTTTCCCTCCAAGTTTAACTCTCTGCGACGATAACTGCGACAGGGTTCAGTCATGCTTAATGGTTTGTGCTCAGACTGACAATCAGTATCTAGAATTTGAGGTGAAGTGTCGATAATTAATTCCTATGGTATTCCATAGGGAGCTAAGACGAACCTAAACCTTCAACTGTAAGTATAATACTACCTCTCCTGTTATTTAAACTACTTTATCTTCCATTTATATTACTTGATTGCGAATTATTTCTTCCTCTTTCAACTTATATAAGTTGGAAAAGTTAGGAGTATCCTACTGTTAGAAGTGGGACCTACAGATATAGCGTGGGCTAGATGTCGAGCGCAGGTACATATCTTGGTAATACTTCTACAAGATACGAATTCCTGGGCCAGGCTTGTTAGTAGTAGTCTCTTGCATATTCAGTGAATGCCTAACTAGGCCAAATTTACGGCAATCATCCGTTGTAATAGAAGACGGCTAAGTGAGCGCTACAGCTACGGCTTGCCGCACTAGAACACAGTCTGGGCAGGCATACAACTGCAGCATTACTCGTTACGCTGGAAGAAAGGTTATTCAAGGCCGTAGCAACTGATCGTCGCGTCAGAAGATAGTCTGTTCGGGACTACATTAATAACCCGTTGGATTAGAAGACAGGCTGTTCGGGGCTGCGGCAATTGCTCGTCTTGACGGCAGACAGGTCGGTCAGGGCTGCAGTGATTGTCCGTCGCGTTAGAATACAGTTATTCAGTGCAGGTCTGTAGCGATCACTCGTCTTAACAGTAGACAGCTAGACCACTTCGTAATAACCGCTCGTCGTGTCGGAAGACAATAGCAATTACCCAAGCAGGTGCAGCAAGAAGTAGGTACGCACCTCACTTATATCAAGGAACGTCACGATGCCACTCAGATCAATACCCAGCTTTTATTTAAAAACTGACTAATTGCCAGTCAGTATCTCAAATTACCTATGTGATGCCTTATTTATGGAAACAAGTCTCGAAGCTGCGCTCCGGCTACTGCCTTCACATTTCATCAAGCTTCGCTTGACAATGTTAACGTTCACTCATTCAAACGTGGCTCAACAAGTCTTATAAGGCTCGAACATAATCGATTTATCTCCGACATCTAGTTGCGCGTTGATAGCTTGCTCTCATTATCGTGAGCCCCCCATGCTCATATTCCTGAATCCTCTCATTCATTTAATTTTTTTCAAATTGCCATCTGAAAAACCTCCAACTACCTAAATACCAATCCCTTATGCTGGATCAGCCGACTGGGGCGACCCTCTCCTCATGTATCACTCATCGCAATATTCTTCATCTCCATCATCTGCAACCGCTTCTTCAGTCTCATCCAATGCTGCTAACTTTAGTGCAGCCTCAAGATCGTTCTGACCTTCAAACGGGGCATCTATCTTCTGGGGCTCCGTGTCTTCTTGGACCCGGTAGAAAGAGAGGTAGCGATGACTGCCTGTTGGAAACCGCGCAAGCGTTGTCGTCGCAGCTAACAAGAAAGGCGGCCCCCGTCCCCAGTCCCTCATGCGATGAGCCGGCGCTGTATACGTGCAATATCTGTTCAGCATTGCGCAATATCGACAAGCATGATATGGAAGATTATGCAAGTCTTGAGCGGGTGTACATTGATGTTTGTGGGTTGTGACCATATATGTACACAGGTCACATTTTTTCTTCTTCTCACGGCCATAGTATGCGCCGCCCCCCGGTTCAACTCTAGCGCGCCAGAAATCAGAATCGTCACAAGGGGGTTTCTTCATGTTTGTGAGTGTGTTGTGCCCACATTGATTCTCTATCAGGGGCTGGTTGTACTCAAAGCTGGCTCTCTCTGGAGCTGCTTCTGTCCTGCCCTTCCGCCGAACCCATGCTGCAGTCTGATTCAAGTGGTCCGACTCTAGCATCAGGACGGTCTTGCTGCCAAAGCTGACGGTCTCGGGAAAATCCTCTGAGGGATTGTGGTATTTGATTCCCTCAAGAGCTCGTATTATGTCGTTTGCCTTGTGCCAGGGCCCCAGAGCAAGAAACTCATCTTGATTGTCGACCCCTCGCTTGTACTGGCCACGGTATGATTTTTGATGGAGTGATAACGAGTACCACTGATTAGCTGCTTCATCGAACCATTCGAACCGTACTCCAAGTCTTGACGGAGAGTCGAACTTCTTAAAAGTCCCCGCAATTGGACATCTAATCCAAGGTTTTTCGTGGGGTCTTCCATCATGCATGATTTCGAAGACGATGTAGCCGGGAGTATGATTTTCGAGGCTAGCTTGGTGGGCTCTGGCTGCATCAAGCGTGAAGCGTGCATCTATGACCTTGAGTCCTCGATGGAGTCTGACTCGAATAGTATAGCAACCATTGACGTTTGTGAGCACTCCGACTCTTCGATAAACCGTCATGCCACGGTCTCCTGGGAACTGCGCAGGCCATGAGATGCCATAAAAAGGCGCTCCACTCCCTTCAGTCAAAGGCGATATCACATTGCAGCCTGAGCATTCCAGCTTTGGCCATGAGGATGCTTGGCGAGCCTGATTGGCAACCGCACTTTTGATTCGATTCAACTTTTGGACGTCTGGAAGGGTATCTCTGTAGCCCATACCATGAACACAATTGAATGCCGTGATGGCTGTTTCTTGGGCCATATTGATAAGTGCACCAGGTGTTGCCTCATCAAATATCATGATTGGGATCATGTGCCGATACTCTGGTAGCGAGTTCTTGGCCTGGCTGTAGTGTGGATGATGATGTGAATCTCCGGTCTGTATCTTTTCCTTGTGCTGATAATCCCCTGTCTGGACTTGGATGCTCTGCCCAGCATACAGAGCAAAGTCTTCCACATTGGCATCCGCGGGATCTTGATGTGTATACACTCGCAGGTAGATGGACTTGGTCCCATCTGAGGGCCAAGATTTGGAGACCTTTTTCAGGCCGGATAGCCGTTCGGCATTGATCTCACCGTTTTGTATGACGCTCTTTACCTCATCGGTAAACGCGTTGATAATTTGGTCGACGTTGCTCCTGAAGTTTGCATCTGAGAACATCAAGGTAGCGTCTCCTTCAGGAACGCCTAGCTGAGTCAAGGCGGACATCTGAGCCCTCATGCCCGTCCAAAAAGATCGAATGAAATTCTCAAGTGGCGTCCCTTCTGTTGCTGTAGAGAATTCCTCTACGTGTACCTCTTGCGATTCTTGGATTTTCGTCGCGTAGTCCTTGTACTCTTTGCCAATGGTAACTCGATTGAACGGAATGATGACTAGATGAAAGATGTTAGTTAATTGGATGGTCAATGGATGGAAAAGAGTCCACCTTACCTACTACCATTTGATCGTAACGTCTGAACAGCGCTTTGCACCATTCTCCGGTTGGATTTGTTGCAATGTGAAGGCCTTCATTGCCCGCTTCAAAGAGGAGAAGCCCATTAACCTTGAACTTGTCGGGGATACTTCCCCGCATACCTGAGTCCCTAACATAGTCTGCAGTGTCGTCATATGCCCATTCGCTTGTCACGAGTAGTGCCCTTAGGCTATGTGTTGGACGTGGAACTGACGGACCCTGTGGCAGAGTTGGTGTATGGGACGGCTGGGTTTGATGCGATGATCCCGACTCATGATGGCTTGGTGTCTGGGATGATTGCGGCTGTTGATGTTGATCAGGCACAGCCGAAGGGTGATTCATGATGACAGATAGAGATCAAGTTATGAAAAAAAAAAAAAAAAAAAAAAAAAACAACCAGGACGAGAGAAGTGTGAGGTGTGAAGGAGAAGAGAGGCGAGTGGGGCGGGGAGAAGAGATCTATTAAGGTAGATAGATAACACGAGGAAAGGGAGCAGAGGAGATCCTCGGGGGGGATGAAAATTAAAAGAAAGTCCGCGGGAACAGAAGACCGTTTGCCTGCCTAGAAAAAAAATGACGAGTGGTCTGTGATTCAGGCTGTAAAATACAGCACCTAACCGATGTTTGGCAGTGACGGGAATCATTGCCAGCTCGTACGCTTGCTAGCAGCAAGCACCAGACATGGACTACATGCATCCCTGGAACTCACTGACAACAGCAATCACAGCAAATAGAAGCGCTGTATTCTGCTGAATGCACTGACGGGCTTCAATAGATCGGTATGCCTTTCCAAGCGTTCTCGCGCGTTTTAGCCACATACAGTGAATCACATGGCTTTCTGGGCTAGCCTGCAACTCTTGGACATTGAGGAAGTGTTGCATTTGATCCCGTCAACAACAGGCCTCAGGTATTACCCTGTGACTCAGTTTGGCCACATGGGTGATGCCATTTGTATGTTTTCAGTTTCATATCGAGGGGTTCTAAAGGACCGTTATACATTTGTGAGCAATTATTCCCTTTTCAGTACCAGGCAAGCACTATACCTGAGGGATGGCTCTCTTCCTATGACCCTTTAAATGCAGTCTGTGAGCTTTCCAGCTTGACATTGGTCCGAAATAACGTGTTGGCAGAGGGAAAACATTCTGACACCGCCACGAAGATGCATTGTTAACGTTTGATCCCAGAAACATGGCCGGTCGGGCCTTTGTAGCTATGGAACCCCCCGGGCAATCATCAAATTCACCAAACGCCCAGCCGAATAGCTCGGCCTTGATGCTAATGCTTCATACGTCCCTCGCCACCCTCCAACTCGGACAATGTTCGTGTTCTCTCCCCATCCTCGCATACAGATGGGTGTGCGATTTAGACCCCCAATCCACATGTTCGCCATAGCAGTACTACAAAGAGGGTATGAAGCAGCCTCCACCAGTAGCTTAGACAGCTCTGCTTCTGAAGGCAGAGGCAGTGGTCGCCAGATCCGCCCAAAGAGAATACCCGGTGCTTTCATCTCCTCCCAGACTGAAGCTTCCTCAGCCCAATGCTCAGATCTCGACTAGAAACATTTTGCGTTAGCCATTATGAGCGGTCTTTCTAATACTTAAACTCCAGTGCTAGCACAGGAAGCCGAATTCGAATCAAAGGCGAATCTCCAACTGCTTGGAGCAAGCACATCTGCCTCTGTTCCATATTGGCTGGCGCGAAGCAACTGCCAGGCGTGGGGGACGTGCGATGTTTGATCTCCAAGTTTAGTGGCCAGATCTGAATCTGGGAGGACAGATCCAACATCAATATCTGTCTTGGGGTAGCGAGTACAAGCTATAGGACTGTATCCTTTCCGTAGGCTTGCCAGCTCAGGAGAAAAGCCGAGTATTGAAGATGTACCCTTGACCGGCCTGTGTAAAGTTGAGTGGGCTATTGCGAAACGACAACGTATGCCTCTGAGATAGCTATGTGGTTGCCTCGAATGCATAAGCAGATACCACCGGTCGGCGGGGCTCCCGCAAGAGATGAACCCAACCCACAATGGTAGTGAGATGGGAGACGAGCAAGAGGTGATTGATTCGCGGCGAAGTGGATATTTAACCAGAACCCGCATCGTAACCAGTGCAGGCTCCGCGACCGATAGTATGACCGAGATTGTGATTAATGCCATCAGGGTTTAAGCAAATGTACAGGGTGGACGGTGCAGGAATAGTATAGCAAGTATGTCGTAATTGCGGCGAGGAGTGGTCACAAGAATGATGATTGCGCGAGGATCATTTGTGACATGTGCGGCGCCGACGGCCATAAGAAGCAGAATTGCATAGGCAAGCAAGTGGGTGAAATAAAACATGGCACACCAAAGATCTTTCCTCATGAGATAGGGACCTTATTTCTTAATTAGACACAATAAGAAGAGAATAATAAACTATTCTATAATAATTAGCTTGATATTGTATTCATTACTAGGTTATTTATTGTGATATTGTGTTGAAATTCAGTACTGAACTATCTTGATGTGCCATGTTTAATTTCAACCACTTGGCAAGGTGCCCAAGTGCGAGAAGTGTGGTGGACCACATGTCGCTACCAGATGCAGAGGCAAGCATCAGTTCGGTCAAAAGGGACAACAAAAGCAACAGGAACCGTCATTGTTTGCAGACTTGACCACTGAGATTTCGGGCCCAATTTACAGCGCTGCAGATCAGGCTCGTCTCCAGCAGGTCCAAGACATCAAGAACATCATGAAGCCCGAGGCGTCTGACGAGTTCTCTGCTAAGGGGCAGGTTTCCGGAGACCAACCTTCTGCCGAGATTGCACCTGGGAATGCTGATTCGTCCACGGCCGAAACCGCCCCTGATGGTCAAGACAATACCGGTTGGTCTACGGCTGAATCTACTCCTGATGGTCTCCAAGACCTCATATGGATGGTAAAGATCCCTTTCCCTGGCCTGGTTCGATATGATTGCTTCGTTATAGGTTGGCAAAGCTTAGGAAGGACACTTCAATGTTGCTTAGGTATCGAGAAAACGGAGATTGAAATAAAAAGTTGTCAGTTACCTACTATTGCATTCATGCGAATCCTGCATCGTGAACTGTAAATAGATCGAGATACTTGGGTCCTGGGCATGACCTGCTAAAACTGCCTGGGTGTGTACAGTGGCCCTAGAACGCTGTTTGGAAAAAAAAATCATCTCTAACTATGGGGGAAAACCAGTTTTACCAGCAAATCGAACGAAACCCGAACCTCTGCTCTGGTCCATAAGAAGTATTACCAGGACAAGCCTGTAGAATTCATCCACCTCGGGCGAAATATCTGTGACACACGGGGAAAGAACATCAACACCACGCGAAGTAATTTTCCTTGAAAGTTTCCAGTATCCTAAGTACATTCATGGATGCCTAGAAAACGGAGGCTTGCCCGGCTATGGTTTAAACCTAACCTAGCTGTTCAAGTGGGTGACATTGAAATTGAGACACTCAAACAATAAGCTGCTTATTCCCAAGTCTGTGACCGGTATTATCGGATTATTGAGTCCTAATAATATAGAATACTGTATTTATTGTTCCTTTCTTCTATTTTATACTTCTTAAATTCTGTATTTCTTGCAGAAAATAGTCGATTTATAGCTAACTCTTCCCTTAGGTGTCTCATTTCTCATGTCACCCACTTACTGTTCTACCTATACTACGCGTCCCTTACGCAGGCGCCCCCGAGTCATCAGAAGAGTGACCATCTAGTCGAACTATAAGGTGTGGCTGCCTGCCGATGGCCGAAACCTACCCAGCACTTTACCTCTAGTGGCGCCTCCCTCGTGTAGATGGCCCAGAGCTGAGGGAGGAGCTTCCGTCTAGTTGGACCAGAAGGCGAGACCACCACCATGCGAATAAATACCTTGGAATCCCCCGCTCCAGCTTTGTTTTCCTTTCCTCCTCACATCATCAAACATCATCAAACATCAACAAATATCGAGACGCATTACTGTACTCACTATCCACTATCGAACTTTCTTTCCTCTTCGCCCCATCAAACATCAACAAATATCAACAAATATCGACCAGTCCTTGGACGCACCATCCACCATCGACGTTGTTATCACTGTTGTAACATCATCACGATGGATCCTATGCTCAAGGAATATTTGGACGTACAGTTCCAGAAAATGGGGACACAGCTCGGGGAACAAATAACCTTCAAGTTCGCCGAAGGGGAGAAACGGCTCGTGGATCAAATGGACTCCAGGTTCCAAAAAGTTTATCAAAAATTCGATGGCATTGAGCAAAGATTCCATGGCATTGATAAAAGACTCGATGGCATTGATAAAAGACTCGATGGCATTGATAAAAGACTCGATGGCATTGATCAAAGACTCGATAGCCTTACCTGGCGAGTGAGTAATGTTGAAACCGACGTCAAGAACATACAGCAGCAGGTCAGAGGCTGCTAACCGCTTCATCAGTGGTGTCATTCATAGCCGGTTTGTTTTAACCTAATCGCTAGTTATGGATTTCGCTAATACTCGGATAGAACCGAAAATGAGTGGAGGCAGAAAATACCGATTGTTAGTCTGAGCAAATGTACAGGGTGGATGGTGCAGGAATAGTATCTTGATACAAGCGTGGGAAAGGCGAAAGAGTGTAAGATAGTGGAGTGAGCCTAAGTAGAATGTATCGGCAATCCTGATCTCGCTTGAGTCGATGCCTTAGGGGCTTGAAAACTTGTTAGTATTATTGTACGGGATGTGGTTCTGAATAAGGGGCAAAGGTGGTAAATACCAGTACTAGACGACATTCAATCTCTGCGCCTGGGCAATTTATCAACCCTCCTACAGGAGCATCAAAGTTGTTCGAGTCAGTATCTTCGCCGAAGAGAGAATTCATGCGTATTGATTTGGTCAGAATTGGCCCGCTGCCTATAGAATCTCCGGCTTTCCTCAAAAGACATGCTCATGTTTGGGATGGTGGCGTCTCCGTTATCAGGACCTCGCGCATTAAAATCTCCAAGTTGTTCTGCTTGTAGGTCAGCGTTGCTCCTTTACTGGCCGATCCATACTCCATGTCTGGGTTAATATAGGCACAACTTACTATTGTGGAAGCTTGGTTTGACTGTATGGATGAGGTCCTATGAAGCTCATATGTGTATCATGTGTAAATTCGCTCGTTTGATCTTCCTCAGCACAGGCACTGATTGAGAGTACTATCGGAAAGAGATGCTTGAGGTCCAATCCAAGATGGTATACTTACTAGAGCCTCAGCTATGTACAACTGATATGATAGCTTTGGATGAGGTGAATTCATTGTATACTCTTCATCGGGTCTGAACTAAGGTTGAGGCTGTGTGTCTAGGGAAGCTTGGATATCGTGAGGAGCCTATCAGGCAGGTAGGTCTGCCGGAGAAATAGTACAGAGCCCTTTGCCAACTTGGATAATCTAGACTGATCACCTTGATTCTCAGAGATGGAGAAGACTGGCTCGGGATTGTTATTGCAGGGAAGGCAGAGGAATAAATACTGTGCTGTACACTAGGAGGGGGGATGGCGTTCCGCTGAATTGGAAATTCGATTGGGAGCACACGGGCTTTGCGAAATCTCGGCGGTGGTATATTGCTTAAACGAGGTCGAAAACGTAAGAGACACTCCTCCCCCAAATTCCAATACTATCTAATGGTAGTCATGACTAGGATGACAGCCTATACGAATCTGATCAGTACGTGGTGGGTCTGAAGGGGTCGTGCTCCAGCAGGTTTGGGATTTGGGGGGCTGGAACGAATCATCAAGCCAGAATCGCAACAAAAACCCGGACAAGCCCGTCAACCGTTTATCTTAGGATGTAGTGATGATGCATTCGAATAGAATTCTTGTCTGTCGGAAATTAGATGACACGAAACTGTCTGGTAGAAGCTGGTCAGTTTGGTGGAGGGTGGGATGGAAACCAAAGCGGGGAGCTGAGCATGGCAGGCGTACCGTCAAGTTGCAATGGGCTGGCAAGCGAGTGACATAACATGGCGCACCAAAACTCTGTTCACGCAAGTCAAAGAGCTCAACAATAATAAGAGTATTGATAAATTATTATATAGCATTTAGTTTGACAGCACAAATATTGTTGATTAATTGTTTTGATATTGTGTTGAAATTGAACGCTGGAGGTTCTGGGTACCATTGAGGCTACAGTAGATGGGTGATGCTCTCAGGCCATGCGCTTCCCACAGTTGATCCAGCTACAACTTGGCTTTTTTTTTTAAAGTACATTACCTACATTAGATGGGCATCAATCTCATGATGAAGCACAGTCCAGCAAGGATCAATGATATTGCAGAATACAGCCTTATGAAGCAAAGGTGGTCGGTGCGACGAGCTTAGGAGTCGTGCATGACAACGAGCTTTATTTACTAGCGATTGGAGGGCGCCAAGTGGGTCAAAGCGTGGGTGTGGCTGACGGATGCTTTGTCGATTGGTCAGGGTCCCTTTTTCTGCCGCATTACTCCAACTACCTTTTTCGTGAGAGCGGGGCTTTTGCCCCGCGGTGGCACTCATCAAAGCTACTACACGCACGCTTGCCCTTTCTCTTCCTAACGCGTTTCTGGGGTGTGATCATGAAACCCATCATCGTTGATTTTCATCGCCGGAATCCCTCCTCACTTTTATACGACTGAATTGACAGGAAATCGCTCAGTGACGGCGTCGTCCGCCATCGTTTCGTCCTCCAGACTTTGCGAGTTGGCCTCACGCCAAGATGTCAAATCCGACCGCTGAGGGAGATGCCCCCGTCGATCCTCTTTTGGGGGGCGACAATGGCGATGACGGCCCACGGGTCAAGACTTGCACGCATTGCCGCCTCGAGAAACCCACCGATCAATTCCTGAATAAGAAGGATCCTTCCAAGTTTACAGGAAAGTGCCTGGAGTGCCGTGACCGGCAGGAGCAGATGCGTCGCGGTGGCAGTGTGAGTTTTTCCTACATTTTCCTTTGGCTATTTACAGCTCATTGACACATACGATACAGCTTTCGGGTCTGCTTCAGACAATACGTCCCTCTTCAGGCCAGAAGCGTGACATCAGCTCAGTTCAAGCACCTGAGTCACAGGAGCCGCGTGTTTTTACGCCTGCTACGTTGGTGCCGAGGCCAGAGCGAAGCGTCTCGAGCGTGCCACGCACTTTTGCGAGACCAGAGCGAAACGTGTCGAGCGTGCCAAGCACTCTCCCAAGGCCTGTCCGGACACCAAGCATGTTTGCGCGCGTTGCAGAGTCATCGAGGCAGTATTTCCGACGGAGAGATGAGCCTTCGCAGACGCCGGCAGCGTCTGTGGCTGATGAGGCTCAAGCCGGCGCGGGGCCGATCTCGCCGCTGCCTGAAGACTCGGTGGCGTCGTCATCGTCGCCTTCGAGGGAAGCGTTTCTTCGATTTCAGCGGATTCGAAACGAGCACGCTATGCCAGCGTCTCCGATTGGCGCGTCGGGATAGTCCCCTGCTGCCCAGCCTGAGATGCCGAGTTACTTCATTTGTGAATCATGTCACACTGCACGCCCTGTGTATTTGTTGACTCATCAGCTGTCGCGCTTTTGTTTATACTGCTGCCATCCGGATCCTGATAGAGATCCTGATGGTGAGACCAGAGCTTGCACACGTTGTGGCCTCTGTTGGCCAAATACCTTCTTCCTCGGCCCGAGCCGCGAGCCACGCTCTTATTGCAACTCGTGCCACGATGCACTTGGTGCTCAGATCCCACCGTCGTAGAACCAGTCTCAGGTCTCTGTTTCCTCCAGTATACGGAGTCTCAATATTGGCACTCTCACTCTTCAACCCCGTTAGGTCAAGTAAGCAGGGCAGTTGCCCAAAGCCCCCCCCCCCCCAAGACATTCCCTTTGAAGGGGACCCCTCAGCAAATACTCTCACGGAATGGGATATCCATCTGCTCTCTCAGTAGTCCCAACAGCTATGTGGTCTACAGATAGAGCTATGTACTTACTACCGTACATTGTAGTTTGATCAAAACCTGGTCAATAGCATCTACTCCTTCTACTAACGCCGGGACTGAGGTAAGCCCAACGAGGAGTTGTACTTCTTGAGTCTAGAATATAGTCTTGATCTTAGGGAGGCGCCAGATCATCTCCTGCAGCTCTCGTAGGTTAAGGAGATACTGATCGCTCGTATTCATATATAATTCCAGATCTTTCAGTATTGAAGCCACTAATATAGGTATTATAGCCATATTATTCAGTTCCTTCGTGATACTAGTAGTATTTATTCCGAGCTTCCTCCCTTACCAGCTGATTTGGATGTTATTATTCTACGACCTGCTAATAGGTAGACTTAGCCTTATGTAGTGCGTCAATTGCAACACCAGTTCCGCGTTCGCCGTCATCATGTCCGCATATGGCTGCAGTACCTCAAGGCCAACCACCCGGGCTGTGCAGACATCACCAGTAGCGAGAATCGCCTGGGCCAGCTTCCCGTTGACGGGGATGCTTCTACTGAGGTCCCTAATGAGATTGACGATCCGGTTGATATCGAGACTGAGGTTGCAGATGCCGAGCTGCCTGACGGGGACGATTTCGACAACTTTTCTGTGCCCAACTTGTTGGCCGGCCATACTGAACTGGAGGAGCTGCACGATATGATTCGCCTGCAGCGGTCGTCTGCCTCTCAACCTCGGGCCATTCGTTCGACGTCGATTCATGAGTTCAGTCTGTCACAGCCGCTTCTGTTACTGACGTTTCCTACCCTTTATCCGCGCGGGCAGGCTGATTTTGTTGAGCCGCGGGTCCGATCAATCAAGTACGATTATTACTTGCAGTTTGCCATGAAGTGGTACGACAGTCGTTTTGTGCGGCATCCGCGCTTTCGATATGTTGCGTTCAACACGCTTATGCGCCACCACATCAATTCACGGAGCGGGTTCTATATCCAGCGGCCAGGATAAGCCATTCGGCGTATTGAGATTTGTGAGCTGCGCGAGGCTTTCGCGTAGGATACACCCGAGGCTGAGTCGCTTCTTCGGTCGATTGTTCGCTACTCTGGAAGTGTACAAGGTACCCGACCTTTCTGGGCGGGCAAAAGGCAAGACCTTGAGGCGATGGTGCGAGGTTTGGGATGCCCCAGTACTTTTCTGACCTTTTCAGCGGCTGATATTCACTGGGATTCTCTCCAGAAGCATCTGCCCCGTTACGACGAGTGGCGGGGTGCTCCCCGCGACGCCAGGTTTGCCATTACGACAGCCAACTTGCGCGACAATCCGCTCATTGTAGCGTATCATTTCTACAAGAGGGTCACGACATTCATCGACACCGTTCTGAAGCCCAAGTTTGATGTTGCTGACTCGTGGTTTCGCTTTGAGTGGCAGGCCGGGGGCAGCACCCACCTCCACGGTCTGTTTTGGTTCAGAAATGGCACCGTGGTCGACTTCCTCAACGATCCCGAGAACCGCCGTATCTTTGAGCAGTTCTGGGGTGTCCACGTGTCCGCCACTGCCCATGAGGCAGCATCTGCACAAGGCCGGGATCCTCTCGCTGTTCCCTCGGCCGACCCTACCTTTCAGGCTCTGTCTGACATCAACAACCGGGTGCAGCGTCATCGCTGCACTGATGCGTATTGTATGCGAAAGAAGCACCTGCCAGATGGCCTTACGGAAGAATTGTGCCGTTTCTACTTTCCGAGACCACTGCACGACGAGCTCGAGCTTGTATCAAACTTCAACCCCCGCTACCTAATTTGTGATGGCGCAAGGAACGATCAGTGGCTTCATAATTACAACCGGACTATTCCTCTTGGATAGCTTGCTAACCACGATTTCTCTCCGTGCAAGTTGATACACGCCGTCATCAACTACATTGCTAAGTACTGTTCCAGGGCTGAGCAGAAGATGGAGACCTACAAGAACGTTGCTAAGACTATGCTCCCCAAGGTCAACAGCTCTAGTCCCGTCACGAGCTTGGTTGCCCAGTGTATGAATAAGTTAGCTGCTGAGCGGGACTGGTCGGCGATGGAGGTTTGTCACCTGTTGCTGAATCTCCCGCTGCAGGAAGCAACGCGCAGGTTGGTCTCTGTGGACTGCCGGCACCCTGCGGAGCAACCGGTGACCGAGCAGATCCAGGAGACGACCATTCGGAGGACCCAAACGATCTATGACAAGTACCTTGCTCGTTCGCACAAGTGGGAGCATGTCTCATATTTCGAATTCCTTACGCGCATCGACCACAATAGTAACCCGTGGCGATATTTCCCTCGGGCCCAACCGCGAATTCTCAACTGCTTTCCTCGGTACAGGTCCGATCCGCAATCCGAGGATTACGTGAGTTATTGTCGCGTCCGGCTCCTCCTGCATCACCCACATTGGCTGGTCGAAGAGCTGAAGACCATCAACGGCATACAGTTTGCCTCGTTCAGAGCCGCATTCGGGTATTGCCAGCGGATTCCCCTCAAAAGCATATACCTCGTTAATGAGCGGCGAGATACTCCTCGCGAGGCCAGGTTTGCCATCGCAACAGCCAATTGGTCAGTTTTGAAGTTATTGGTCTGAGTGACATCGTGATATTTCATAAGGTAAGTGCGGTAGGTACCTACCTCTTCTATTGCTATGGACCTGCCTAGGTAATTGCTATTGTGCTAGCTACGCGCGTTGTCATTTCTTCGTCTTATTTACCTTGACGCTGATGAACACGATCAACAACTACAGCCTCAGGCTGCCTTGAGCAGGTAAGTCTGATCCCATCCACACTGACTCTCACGAATAGGATCAACAACCGCAGCCACAGGCAGGCAAGTTAGACCCCTCCTTGATCTTGCTGATCGCGATCCAGGCGGATTTCAATCAACAGCCGCAGCCTCAAGCAGGTAATTTGTATTTCATTCACGCTGACTCCCCTACGCAGCTTCGTTTGCCCATAGACTGCCCTCGCAGGCATTGGCTTGTATACCGCTATTTACCTAGCTGTTTGTTTATTTCACTCCACTTATCTAATCTATTTTGCTCTTAACATCACTCAGAATCAAGTAACATAAATAAAAGATAAAGTAGTATCGATGAAGAAAATACTATTATCATAAACAGGAGGGTCGCAAGTGGGTGAAATGAGAAAAAACGAGACACTCGAACATTAAGCTGCTTATTCTCGAGTCTGCGGCCGGTATTATCGAATTATTGAGTATTAATAATATATACTTGAGAGACAATACGCAAATACTATCACTCTATTTCGTTCTATATAAATTAGAAGGGAGAGTCTCTTTACAACCACTCTTCCATTCAGTGTCTCATTTCTCATGTCACCCACTTGGGTCGGTATCGTACTCATAGTTGAAGGTTTAGGTTCGTCTTAGCTTCCCATGGAATACCATTGGAATTGATCATCGAAACTGCGTAGAAGTGCGAACCTGTCGTCTATGTGGTTTGGAGAGTGTCCTTCTCCATTATGGCGGGGTGATGGGTGGTGGGTGGCGAGTGGCGGGTGGTGGGAGGTGGTTGGTTTGGGGAGTATCCTTCTCCATTATGGTGATTTGGGGAGTTTACTCTCCATTATCTGAGGCCGGGAATGCCTCACCAAGCTTTCGCTTGGTACCCTTTGCCTCCTCCTCGGCCTTCTTCTGCATCTTCTCGTCCCAATCCTATCTTGCATGTTAGTATGTAATAGTTGGGAATAGAGTAAGTATTAGTACCCGGTGTCTCTTGGGAAGGAAATGTCCGCGGAGCGCCTTGGCCATGATGGGAGTGAGCTGGCAGTCCATGCCCTTGACAATGCATTTGCCCGCTTGGAAATCTTTGACGGGAATTGTCCAATCGAACTCGGAATACTTGAGATGGGAGATGTATCTCCCGTAACGAGACCTTCTGGCCTCTTCTTCCAGTGCCTTGAGACACTCGTCCTCATCCTTCACAACAAATTCTAGATACTGATTGTCAGTCTGAATACAAAGGGAAAGGGTACAAAGAGAGAGGGGGAGGGAGAGGGAGAGGGAACGGGAGAGAGAATAGGAAAGGGAACGGGAGAGGGAACGGGAAGAGGGAACGGGAAGAGGAAAGGGAAAGGGTCACTAAACCCTATCGAACTTTTCGTCGCAAAGAGTCAAACTTGGAGGGACACTGGTACCTACATATGGGATAGGACATTAAGACAAGACACTTTCATACCTCATACTGTAGACAGGCTCGGATTCCTTCTCCTTGGGCGGCGGCAGGGTTGGTGGAAGTGGTGACGGTGGTGGTGGTAGGTTGTTCATCCACGACTTCTTGCCCAGGACAACTCCCTCTAGGTCAGGATCAAAACGTTGGTGGTGCGACATGTTTACAATTAAGAACAGACAGTAAAAATCTGGTAAACACTGGCTCCAATCATGGAAGACAAGATAAAAAAACAAAATCACATTCTTCCCGTCTGCCGTTTTGTGGGTGTGGGCGTGCCTCAGGTATCAACTTACATCAAGGAAGGAGCCGTAGCGTGCCTTCCCACGATATTAGGTGTCTACCTAGGTATGTAAGTAGCAGGAGCGTACCTTCCTTCAATATAAGGTAAGTAGCAGGCCTCTTCAACTAAGGTAGATACCTAATTACAGCCATGTATCGAATCTTGCATCGTAGCCTTTCCATCTCACGAGATACTGGTCGCGGTTGTAGTGCTTCCGCTTCTCGATAATCGCTTCCAGTTCGAAGGATTGCCAGATATCGTCGTCACCTTCAACGAATACACGCGGCTGCTCGTTCCTTCGCGGCCGCCCAAACGGATCGTCTTCCTGCGGGGCCTCCTCAAGTTGGAGGATCGAGACACTTTTCAGTGGGGTGGTAAGGGTAGGTAGCCCAGGTACCTAGGTAGCCCAGAGATTCACAACCACTATGTCTGATAATGCAAACGGTAACAATTCAAATAGCAAGAGATAAACCATCTGACATCAAAAATGCTTGGGATCATATGCCGCCTTGTCACTTGGAATCCCCGAGTCTCGCTCTTCATCAACATTCTCGCTGGAGCCATACGCAACTCGGACGTCGTCCAGTTCCTCCCCAACTTCCATCCAGCGGTCGCTCGTAGCCGGGACCGGGAATAGCTTGCATAAAACGAAGTACACGGACGACGACACGATGAAGCCACTAAAGAAGTTGAGATTGTAGATATACTGCGCGCCAATCGGCACTTCTCGTCCGACTTTTCCAGAAAATCCCACGACATTGATAAGAATACCGGAGATGTAAGCTGCGTATGCCCGCCAGTGAACGCCAAATGTGTAGTAATAAGGACTAGACTTCCGTCCATTGTAGAGCTCCTTGATCTCCAAATAGCCCTTACGGATGAAATAGTAGTCGCATATCATGACACCCGCGATCGAGCTGAGGAAGACACTATAGGCCGATAGGTAGGTGGTAAATTGGTTGTTGTCGCTGAGGAGGTTCCATGGACACATGGCCAGACCGATCGCGGCACAGATGTAGCCACCGCGACGGATATTGAGGAAACGTGGGAGGAGAGCCGTCATGTCCGTTCCAGCCGAGACGGAGTTGGCGGCAATGTTGGTACCCAGCTGGGCGAGGGCGAAAGCGGTGGCGATGACGAAGATGCCAAACCGCTGACCGGAGTTACTGTCGTCGATGAATTTATCGAGCAGCTCGAGGGGGTCCCAGACGGCTTCTCCGTAGATCACCTCAGATGAGGAGGAGACGATGATTCCAATAAAGGATGTTATAGCAAAGCCTACGGGGATGGTGATGAGCTGGGACCAAAGAGCATCTCTAGGCTTGCGAGCAAATCGAGTGAAATCGGGATCGTTGATGATCAGGGTGGCGAAATTCGAAATAGAGGACATGATTCCCAGGACAATCTGCCAGCCCAGCTCACTACCGTGGACCTTGTGGCCCTGCTTGACGATCGGCCCTATGCCACCAGCTTTTCCGACTGCCCAGCCCAGGAATGCAATGCCGGCGACAGGAACAAAGTAAGCTTTGACTGTGAAGAGATGGCGGATTTGGTGTACGGGCCACCAAATAGCTGGGAGAGAACAGAACCAGAAGAGGAAGAACGAGACAAAGTCGGCGGTGGTGGTGGCGGCATCATCTGAGAAGGTGTTGGGGATCTTGGTACGATCCCAGGACAGCCAAATTGCGCGGATCATGATGTAGACGCATCGCCCTCCGATGTAGGCTTGCACACCATACCAGACACACGCTGAGGAAACAGTCAGCAGCTATTCGTCGGATTTCTGTGTGAGAAAGGCTAGTTTGGTTTACTCACCCATGGCTGCTCTGTTAAAGACCGGCCACAAGCTTCCCCAGATGCCAAACGATGACCGTGCGACAACAGGGAAGCCTATGTGATACGTAGATCCAATTCTGCCAGTCAGGCAAATGAAACAGCCGGCAATTGCGTATCCAACCCAGACGCAGATCCACGCTTGCCACCACGAAAGGCCATTGACGATCATAGAACTCGATATCATCCAGGTGTTAATGTTGAAAGAGTCGGCGATCCAGAAGCCGACGAAGTTCCATGGACCCCATTGTCTCCGCTCCTTTTCCACGGGTTTTAGATCATGATTGGTGAGCTATGAATTGATTCAAGTTAGCGGTTCGTTTAGACATTGTTGGGTTGGAAACAATTGGGTTCCAAGTTGGCTGCATGAACATGCGCAACGGCGTGATTTTGGTAGAAGCAGCCGATGAAAGCTTGATCCTACATACCATCAATTGGGTACTGGTTAAGCCTGACTCTGCTTCATCAACGGCCAGTTTGTCGACCCAGCGGGCTGCACGAGACTTGCTTGCCACGTGAATGGCCATTCTGGTTAGGTACTGGGTAGATTAGAAAGCCTTGCAACCGATATGCTTTTGAGTTACAGTCTCGTCGGAACCCTCGTGATTGGTGTATGAGAGAGGAGAGTCGGCGGCTACCCAGTGGCTGATAAGGCTCGGTATAAGAGAGAGAATGCACCCCCAGAATCAGCAGATGCAGGGTCCGACTTTTCTCGTCTGGAAATTTTTTCTCAGTCTCCTGCATGCAGATTACCGCATGTTCAATATTCTAAGTATCAATGCAGTCGATGATACACAGTTTCTGCGGGCCTTTTCCGGGGGGCCTGCTTATCTTGCTCTCTGCGAACCGGTATGTAATGGAGTGTAGTCAAAGGAATAGGAAAACGTAATGACAGGCACCGTGCGGGGAGAGAACGGCTGATCAACTAATCAAGTGGCCAGAATGACGTTGGCCATGGCAGGACGGCTGAGAAGGTTGCACGAAGAGGACAGGGATTGGGATCATCATGATGATGCTGAGAAACCCCATTATGTACGCTCGATCCCTGTATATGCTCGCGTGCTGTGGCAGCTAGCAGTTGGCCAGGACGAAAGCAGACGACAGGCGGGAGTGAGAAGTGCCTGGAAGGAAACAGAGTTCAGCCAAGCGAGTGGATGGTATGGATTAATGGCTCAGCGAAATGATATCATTCTTTCTGGGCACTAGTGCAACCAGCAAAGTATGTGAATAAATCTTTATTTGGCCTTCAAGATGCCTTCATTTTACGGATGATGTTTTGGGAAACGGCATGTCCTTATCGCAGGATCCGGGGGATGACAGCCATTGCCGAAGGGGTAGCGCCTTCCCTGTGGGTGCCTGGGCCGATGTGGTGGCCTCCCATTGGCTACAGCGGGCTGTTATCTCCCTGTTGCACCTTCCGTCTAAGAGGCTAGCAAGGGTCTGTCTGCGGGGAACACCTACCCTACTGCATCACCAACCACCAAAACAAGCAGCACGCGATCCCTCAAGAAAGGAACGTGAGGAGGAATTGATGGTTAAGTAATTGATTGCACCTGGCGCTGAGATACCTTGGGTGAATATTGACATCCTGGTAGGGTTGATTCTCGAGCAGTTGGATTAAATAAGTGAAGAATTCGCTCGGAAGGTGCAATCTGGAGCTTGCTACAGACTGGAGGTGTGAGAAGCAAAGTTGAATTAACACATTTGAAATATCCGCATTTAAGATACCCATCTGAAGAAGAGAAATAGAAGCTGGGGGGATTTTGTTTAAGAAAAGTTGAGGCTTTATCAAACCAAGTAAGTGACATTGAAATTAAGATACTCAAACATTAAGCTGCTTATTCTCAAGTCTGCGACTGGTATGTCAGATTATTTGAACAATATTACATGCTTCAGAGATAATACTGTGTATATTGTTACTTGATCTTCATTTTATACTACTGAATTTCTCTATTTATTACAGAAAATAGTTAACTAATAACTACCCTTCCATTAAGTGTCTCATTTCTTATCTCACTCACTTGCACTCACTTGCAAGCTTACTTAGCAGCACCCTTTGGCTGCTCTACTGCAGCACCAAATCCATCACGACCATGATCGAAAATGTGTGTATCTCATATATCTTGCGTGGGAGAATAAATAGCGCTCTTTCAAGGATCTTTATTTATGAACAAATGAGATGATTCCCTGGCGATATGAATTGAAATCTCGCGCCAAGACTGCTTCGTGAAAATGAGTTCTCAGCGACTGATGCAGTGAAAGAGATATTGGTTAAGCCAATGCTGCCGTAGTATCCTGAGAAGGTGGAACAATAAGAGTTCATGCGTACCGTACTGTCTATTGTATTTCTTCCTTGGTTGGGAAAGCGCGCCATGATCAGACCAACTTCTCAAGTTACTTCTTCCGATGAGGCAATGGGTGGTACCTGATCTAAATCAAGGAGGAATATTGATGTTGGAGTCTGGCTCGGAGGGAGTCTGGTCAGATGATCCTCAAGTGGTGGTGATAATGAGAAGCTATGAGAAGCTTTCATAGTTAGTAAGGTGAGCACAATACATCTGGCTTAGGCAAATCAGTCTCACTGCATTTAGTGCTATCTGAGCTATCTGAGACGGCAGAAAAAGATCGCATTTATGAGGACCCTGTAAAATTCCTTGCTCAGATATCATAGCGTGACCTTTTAAGACTGGAGATGGAACATTACGGGTTTAGTGAAGTTTAAAGGGCACCTTTTACCATAATGCATCATTTATCTGAAGAAAAGTACAGCAACGGAGTGCATATCTGCGGATGATACATGCTCTGAATGAAGTCCGGAAGAATGCCTTGCTCCTCTATGAACACTTTGAGCTGGGCTATTGGGAGAGTTCGAAGATCCTGCTACAAGATCCTCAAAAGTATTCTTGAACGAGGACACCCAAGAGCTAACACACGCAGCTCTTTCCAACGTGGAATTGACTGAGAAAGCATGGTGGCAGCTAGTGTAGCACTTGGTAACAGTCATCATACTTGATCAAGATATCACCGAGATTAAGAAGAATGGAA